AGAGAATAACGAGTAATGAATATACTTTATTACTCGTTTCCATTCATGTCAATTGCAGATACATGTTTAGTCTTCTCAAGCACCAACTATCAAATATCTCTCCTGATTGTTGGCACTTGACAATCACCTTACCTGAATTTTACTCAGGTGTAACAAAAGTCTGATTTAAGGGTTGTTTATATTTCACATAATTAATCAGAATCTGCAAAGTAACTCAAATAAATGCAGTGGAATAAAAATACCGGGTTAACCTCTGAATTGTAGTGGAGTAGAATTACAAAGTAACTGTCATGTGGGTATTAATGCTGCGCATTATGGACACAAGCGATTTTCACCCATTTATTAATGATATGTTTTACATTTGATAACACCAATGTGTTTAATACTGGCAACTTCTAATTGTGGGAAAAACGAAAACGTTCAGTAGAGACGTCCCATAGAACATTTTGCGAAACACAATAGCCAGCATGTGTAGTTCTGGGGGGGCGTTCGATTCCAGTTTTGGATAGTCTGGCGTGGTTTCGTTCCATTTCACACAGCTGTTTGACGCTCTGCGTAACCTTACGGGGACTGTAGTCCTAAACGATAGCTGGGGATTATGGGTAGTGTAGTGTCTTCGGCCATCCTAAACTCAGAAATGTTGACAATCGCAATGATGCTCGAAATGTCCCTACGTCTGTTTCCGGTTATTTTTATTTTGAAATTCAGTTCCTGACGGACGCCAAAAAAGCCAGAGATTATGGAATTAAACCAATAAATAAAAGCAAGGATAATTGTGTGTTATTGGTGAGTAAATAACAGTGTGTTATTTTGAAAAGAATATCGAATTAGAAGGAAAAAAATATTTAAAAATACAGATTTCCGTATTCTGAGGCTCTGAGCCCCATTTATTTTCCTCACAGACGGCAACAAAAGTCCGAAATTATACGATTTCAAATAAAAGCAATAACTGTGGCTTGATATTGAGTAAGAACATGTTTTTATGAACCACACAGCTTCCGGTATTCCTCGACCCGACCGGAGAAAAAGACGTGCTGCAGGCAGTAGAAATACATTGCTTTTAAAATCGTGCTCTGTAACACGAAAAAAAGGGGCAAATCGTGTTGGTGAACACGAATCAATAGATTAAAAAATCGTGTTGGTGAACACGAAATGCCGTGAGACTGGGTTGTGTCTTAATGATGCAGCAATACACTAACAGGTCCTGTCGCTAACTGATCTACTGCATTGATGCAGTTCAGGCTTAATTGTCTAGTGGTAAACAACTTAAAGATCAAATGCAAAGCTTCCAAATATGCTACATTTTTATAGAAATGTTGTTTTTAAGACTGCCTGTATTTTTTATTTTATTTAAATCGAGATAATACACCCAAAAAAAAGCTTTTTATTGATCCAAAACTCGACCCAAAGCCGTCTGAATTTCTGACATGTAATTCCCAGCAGCCTCCGCGCGCGTGACGTAATAGTGGCCAAACAGTCTCTGGACCAAATATCCCGACTCGGCAGTCTCGGTCACATGTTTTTCGAAAAGAAAACTGAATTAACATGGGTTATTGTTGAGCTTTTTGTTGTACGAACGGTGCGGGATCTGGGAGAGTTTTACATGCAATTCCCAAAGACCAAATCATCCGCAAAAAATGGATTTTTTTAGTGAATCGTGTTGGATGGCAACCGACAAAATGGAGCAAGTTGTGTTCTGACCACTTCGCGTGTGATGCATACGACGTTGATCCTGCTATCATGAAGTCTGTTGGTGGAGAAGCATTAATAGCACGTCGGAGGCTGAAACCCGGAGCCGTCCCCTCCACATTTCAGCACAAGAAACCACTGAAAGAACGAAAGAGCCGGGCGATGCAGAAACGCCAAAGAATTGAGGTAAACAACTTTTGATTATATTTCAAAGCGCACGGAGCACAGCAGATAACGGAATTGCAGTTTTATTGCTTATAGAGGTGGGCACCGTTAGATTCTGTGTCTTTACGATCATAAACAATGTGTTGGATGTGGAGCTAGGATAAGTAATAAGGGCGCTAGGAGTGATAGGTTAGCATTTTTCGCTCGGGGCTAATTCACTGTTAGCATTGTAGTTTATCTGCAGCTCATTCATCGCTCCTCCACTCATAACGGAAAATGTCGAACGTCCTACAGTCGGTGATGCAGACTTCTTCTCCCATCTCTTCCTTCACTTTCCCATAGTTGTGGCAGCACTTGTTTTCTCGGCTTGTATGCATGGTCTGGCAGTTTCCACATCTACACCAATTCTCAGCACCCTCGGCCTCTTCCTCAGATGGCGAACTTGAATCATCACCATCAGCACTTTCATCGGTGATATCAGGTGACGTTTCCTTGTATTTCCTCTTCGACATCAGAGGCTCGTAGAGATAGGGTTGGATGTCGACAACATACTCCAGATATTGGGTGGCCTCCGACTCAGAATCAGACATGATAAGCCGGGTGGAAATATGTTAGGCATTGAACAAATTCCCATCCACCTCGTCCTTGTGAGGTGAGTCCGCCTGGAATTTATTTTTCTAAACCTCTCTAAAAAGGTCAAATTTCACTTGTTTTGCATCAATCTTGATACAGGGTACTTATTATATGTTATAGTTTGGATTCCTAAAGCTTTTAGTCTATAGTCTACTCAGAATCAGACATGATAGACGAAACTAGTTGTACTATCGGCGGAAGCCGCTGTGATTGATAAGCCAGGTGGAAATATGTTTGGCACATCTGACGTCACGCGCCGCCATCTTGCGGAGGAGAAAATAAATCGTCGGACTTGGTGTTGGGGGTTGAACAAAATTAATATTGCGCATTGCCAGACTCATATTATCTCCGATTTTAATACTGCAATATCTTAGATAGTGTTGTAGCTATATGATTTCGATTGTACTGGCAATTATACAAAAAGCTTTGCATTTGATCTTTAATGATAACGTACCGATAACTAAAAGTAGGAGACGTAATGAACTCGATGACAACTGTGACTCCCTGATACTGAACCACATGCTCAAAGCTCAATGAAAGAGATCATTGCATACAAAGTTGTTGCCATAGAGACGGAGAGAGATATCATTAATACACAGTCAGTTCCTGCAAGTTGAAATGCCCTTTTGTGATTCACAAAAGTAACAGCAAATAAATTGATTAAGGCATTCTTGAATTATTACCTCACTAAATGGAAAGTAAATTAAAGAGCCACCGCAGTCTCCACATCGCTCGGGAAATGTGTATCTACTTAATTTCATCATCCCTCAGTGTGGGTCCATTTAAGAATCAAATATTTTCTTATTACTTGTGGGAAGTCAAATGCACACACAATCACACAATCACACAATCACACACACACACACACACACACACACACACACACACACACACACACACACACACACACACACACACACACACACACACACACACACACACACACACACACACACACACACACACACACACACACACACACACACACACACACACGCACGCACGCACGCACGCACGCACACACACACACACACACACACACAGGCTGATTGTCCCCTTGTTTTCAAGGTTATACGCTAGTTCCCCGTTGCTCACAATACATTTGCATCAAACTACCAGCCAACAGCTGCCAATTAACATACAGCCTCTCCGTTAATACACACACGTCAGTGCCAATTACAGTGTAGGTTGATCTCTCTCTCTCTCTCTAATGGTGCGACACATTATACACCCAAACACTATACCTCGCATAGAGGAGGGTGGGTTTAGGGGTAAGGAAAAAAGCTAATCAGAGCTGATGTTTTAGTTGGCGAAGACTGGGTGAGAGAACAGTACAGAGGGCGGAAGGCTTTCATGATTAGCTCTGTCATGCAGGTACAAGCGTTGAAATAGTGATCTGCTGGATGAGGCCTTACAATGATAAGGTGTTATTTATTACACACATCTTGCATGAGCAGAAGCAATAAAGACATTGTTCAAAGTATAAATATGTGCAGGTATTCCCACAAATAATCAAAATACTGTAAATTGTTCCTTGTGTCTACAGCATCTTTTTACAAGTCCAAATAGGATGTAATTCATATGTTATATAATCATAATTTAAGTTCAATAGTATAGCAAGGGGGAATCCTTTTCTACAAGAAAAGGATTTCAATGAACAAATTGTCAGCAGCACGGTACAAAAGTTTTATAACAGAGTGGATTACTGCAGGATGACTTTGCACATGCACACACATACAAGCAGGCACAACTAATACCTCTCAACCCTTTATCTTGTGCACACACACACAGACACACACACACACACACACTCTTACACAAGAACAAACCGCAGTATAATAATTTCCTTCATGCAGCAGCACGAAATTGAACTATTCATTATTGTCAAGCATGAAAACAGCATAGCGTTGTAATGAAAATCTATTAACGTCGACAGCCACTAGATGGCACCCTCTTCCCTTTCATTTCCAATTTAACTTCCCATTCCTCAGCTGGTCAGCTGACTGTGGGATGGAGACCAACTAGATACTTTTTTAAATACTAAGCTAAGATAAAGGGCACTTACTTCACTATACGACAAAGAAACACTTGATTGATCAACAGTTATGCATTACATCAGAAGACTCTCCATCTGAAATATATTCACTTCAACCTTGGGGGTTATGGAAATCAATGCTCACCTTCCTATGTTGTATTTTCCATATAAAACACGTTGCCTTGGAATGGACTCTTGTGGGCTTCTATCAGCAGGAACATATCAATTAACCAATCAATCAGTACCACTCAGCTAGCAGGCGGTTGGCTGTATCCATCATGTCTCAACTCAAACAATCAATACAGTGACCTTCAAGAAAACAAAAGATTTGCAGAATACAATCAGGCACACCGGGCAGCAAAAAGTCAAAGCAGTGAATTGCAAGTGAGATTGCTTGACATTGTCAGTGCTATAAAAAAAAAATGCAGAAAGCCAAATGCATTTTTTGTCTTTATTTAGAATGTAAAGCATTGCTCATATTATGATTTGAAAAATGAACGAAAAATACATAAAACACTTTTGTAGGTGAACAGTGTTAATACAAGTTCTAAATGAAAGATAACAGGTATCAATATGTGCTATGGGAATATGTTTAGCTGTCATACAGAATAAATGTTCTCAAAGTTCTTAGTTTCATATTTCAAAAGAGTGAGTTAATTGCAGCTCTGAATCAGGTGCTGGAACAATCTTTGAGTGAGGTATTATATCATCAGGTGCAGGATACGATGTTGTGATTGGATTCTTCAGTATTGTTGAGAAGTGTCTGTTGAGGAGAGCTGAGAGTGATGCCAATGACCATCATTTCTTTTTGCCAGCACTCTTGGCACGTTTGTTGGGCTGCTGGGTGGCAGCAGAGTCGGGGGTTGTTTTTTCTAAAGTTGCCTGCTGGGCCTCCACCATAGGTTGTTTCGCTTCATGTTCCATTTTAATGTTTGCCTTCTGACGGTTACTTAATGCCCCGCAAGCATCGAGGAATATCTTACAGTGCTGCCACAAGAGAGGTAAAGAGAAAGATGTTACAGGATGATGTGAGGGAGAGGAAGCTGATAACATATCTCCCTCACTCTCTCTTACATTGATATTCACAAATGATGATTTTTTTACTGTCTGCACCGTCACTCAGTGCCCTCGCTGTTCTTCACTGACCTGCATGTTCTCATTTATCTCCGGGTGGTGTGTCCTCAGCTGCTTCCGGTTGAGCTGTTGCTGTTTCTGGTGTTCCAGCACATTGTCTCGGATCAACCGGTAAGTCTGGATCTTTTCTAAGCGCTCCCTCTGCTGGATCTCCTCCATTTGGGAGTCCATCAGAGCAGGGAAATCCGTTTGGCGTCTAAAGAATGTACACAAGGAGTTGATACAATGTGTATATGTATCCACTTTACTATATTATATCACCAGCGTGTTATTATTTGATGGTTTATTTTTTGCTTTGTGAGTGCTTAAAGGATTTCTCTGACAAATATAATGTTGTTCCGAAAAATATGTTCTACTAAATTGTGATTTAAGGAATAGATAATATATCTCCAGCTCAAACTATACCAAACGTAGTAACACTTAACATTAAGTTACTACAATTAACATTAATTAATACATTAATAAGCATTGACACAGTTAATGACCACTTAATTGATTTGCCAAAATAATCATTTCAAATGTGTTAATGTCAAATATTCAACTATGGTATTCCTGTATACCTTATTTAATCGTCATCATTTTTTTGTAACCCAAATTAAATGTCAATCTAATGAAGTTCTTTGATATGATCAGTAGAGGGCGCACCATACTGCTCTGAAGGACATGTTATTGCATTAAGCTTATTATTTGTGGTAGTTTTACTTCTTCATTATTAATCATAGCATATCTATGAATGAGGGACTGCTCCACATGGCTCTTAACATGTTCTCCCAATATTTGGAATGAATTATGTTGATAACAGATGATGGTCATGACGAAGTGGTTTACTGTTAGAAATGTTTGTGACTTACAATTTCAAAGAGCATTAATTAATGCTTTTTACCAGCCTTATGCATTCATGAAGTGTAACTTCATGTACAATAAGACCATCTACAGTACATTAAAGGAACAAACAAATCTGAATACTATGGAGTCTGTAGTGTCTACAGATCTCGACTATCGTATTTGAGTATTTCTCATATGATTATATAACTTGAATTTGTGTTTGTGGATAGAGGACAGTTATACAAGAAATGAGTGAAGCCGTCAACATGTGTTTGAGAAAGACAAATGGCTGGGAATCATCTGAGGCACACAGAGGGATGAATTCAAATACAAGTGCTAAATGCAGCTGTCTACTTCCTATAGATGACCTTAATGAAGAGGGGAGGCCAGTGGAGGTGATGATGGAGTGCATTTAATTTAATGCCTGGTTCAACCTCTTTCACAGCGTGTCTTTAAATGGAATTGCGTGTGTGTGTGTGTGTGTGTGTGTGTGTGTGTGTGTGTGTGTGTGTGTGTGTGTGTGTGTGCATGAGGGTGAATTAAAAATGTGCCCTGCGCTGCACCTTTGTGTGAAAGAGGTGTATTGCAGACTAATCAGACTCTGCTAATAGACTACTCCTCTGGATCTCTCTCGGCTCAGATTGCAGGCCACGCTGTCAGCAGCCGTTAGCAGCTGGACACAGAAACACACGTGCAGGCACACACATGCACACACCCGCCCACCCACAGCAGGAGAGGGTGGAGAGGTGATGAGCGAGGGGAACATCTCATTGGAGCAAGGAGCTCATTGGGGTCCTGAAATAGCTATCTAATTAACAGACCCAAATATCATCTCATTTATCATGGAGAGGGACGGACAGAGGGAGGAAGGGATGGAGGGAGGAGAGGTGGTGTGAGGGAGAGCAACGGGAGACAGACGGGAACCGTAGAGGGAGACTCTTCGCTTCAGAATACTGACATTTCAGCCATAGACGAACAGGAAACTCTCAACGTACGTGCTTAGGAAACTGTATTGATTTGAGACTTTCTTAATAATTATATTTCCATTGTTGAGTGCTACAACAAACAATGTTGTTGCAATTAAAGCTTTGTGTGACCTTACTGATTGTGGAGCTGGTGTACTGCATGCTAAAATGATGTACTGTAGATAAACTAAACCATGAAGCAGGCGGATCCAAGAAAGGAAAGAAAATCTCAGAATCATCAAAGCAACACTCTGTTCACTTCATTTCTGCGGCTACAAGTAGGATGTGTTGTATACAGCAGGGGTTCCCAACCCGGTACCGGTCCGCGGATATTTTTTTCAAAAAGTGTTTAATTTTCGCACCTATACCAGTCATATTATTTCATCCAGTAGCCTAGTTAATCTTTCACCAGAAAACCGTTGAAAATGGCTTTTATGATGTTCCGAGGGATTCGGCGGCTCAGCCTATAAGGTCTCAGCCTCTCGTGCGCACGAGAAAGTTACCGGTGCGCCAAGTAGGAAGAGGAGCGCACAGGATCACAACCGTTTAATTGCAGACTGTTATGTTTATGTGGGGAAATAGCAGTGCATACATTATTTGAGATATATTTCAAACTCTGACTTAATTTTAAGGACATGTCGGCCAGGGGTGTAGAGCTATTTGTTTAAGCACCGGATTGGCAAAACAGGAGAGTAAACCAGTCTGCCTTGATCTATGAATTAATGTCCGGGACTCTCACGGTATCTGCTGCCCGCAGCTGTTTTATAGAAGGAAAGCCTCCTTCACTTCATGAAATGGCTGCAGCATCAGGAGGCAGCGGGACGTGTAACTCCACCTCTGAGAAGTGCAGCACCAGCGGGTAAAGATGTGCCTTTTTACGCACCGCCTTCGCTGTGTTTACCTTCATCAGAACAGCTTCAGAGTGACTGCAGGGCAGGCTGCTACGTGTTAACCACACACACCTCTACACACATCTCTACACACATCGAACTGCCCGATTACTCCCCCCTTTTATTAGTTGTATGAAGGAGATGTCCAGTCACCAAGACGCATGATGTGTGTGTGTGTGTGGGTGTGTGTGTGTGTGGTGTGTGTGGTGGTGTGTGTGTGTGTGTGTGGGTGTGTGTGTGTGTGTGTTGTGTGTGGTGTGTGTGTGTGTGTGTGTGTGTGTGTGTGTGTGTGTGTGTGTGTGTTGTGTGTGTGTGTGTGTGTGTGTGTGTGTGTGTGTTGTGTGCTCTGCTCTGTGTGTTCGGTGTGTTTGTGTCTGTCCGACACCGGCATTTGTTTTCAAATGACCATGAACAGTAATTTACACACATCTGGCTAACTCCATAGGTAACCTATATGCGGGTGTTCCCATAAGAAGTTAGTTTAATCTTAATCTCGATGTAGTGCTAAATGCTGTCGGAGTGCACCGGAACGAACGACACTATCATAATATCTTCTGAAAACAAATGTCACACAGACACACACACACACACACCCCGGAGATGTCCTAATGCGCCTTCTCCTCGTTTTCCCATCACTGAATTATCCGTAAATCATACAAACAAAACCAAAACGTTGATTTATCTGTTTTCCCGTTTTGGTCTAAAAACTGAATAACCTCGGTTTTTTGGTTTTCCGTTTTTCTGAAAAAACAAAAAACGACACCGGTTCTTTTTTAAACGTTGTTAATATGTTTTGGATGCATATTGTTCTAGTATTTGTTCAGGCTGTTACATACAATTAGCCTCTGTTGCTACCTGCTGGTGGTGAGTAAATATTAAAATCAGTTAAAATTGACAACCGGTCCGCGGTTATTGGATCTGCCGGTCCTTGGCACAATAAAGGTTGGGAACCCCTGGTATACAGTACTAAACTATTTTTGGACCAATCATGCCATTATAACATTCACCTCAGCCATCAAGTAAATAAACAACTATATTCCTTGAGAAATCAGTTACAGTATATTCAATTAAGAAATGCAGTTTTTTTGTTTTAAATGTGTGACTTTGTGGTTTGACATATCATAAAACTGGTGTAATTTCTAAGATTGTTTTTCATGAAGAACCCCTCCATTTAGCCGATCCTTAATATCTATAAATGCCACAGTAGATAGTCTATAGATTATCCCACGGGGATAAATAAAGTATATCAAATATCTTTCAGGCCAGCCAGAGCTCACAGTCTTGTAACACTGATGTTCACTGCACCAATAGGAGCAAAGGTCACAGGAAATCCCTAGCAATGTCCTGCAGACACTGTATGAACCAAGCTGGTATGGATGCTGAAGTTTCTATGTCCACGAACATAACATGCACACTGAAAATACACAGATATTAACACGCCCTCGTTCACTCCTCTACAAGGCCTCGCCGCTAATGCAGGCCTACAGACTAGAAAACAGAGGAAACTACATGAGGCAGCTGGAGTGCATACAAACAACACTGCAACAGGAAAACATTAAATAGCCTTTTGGAATAATGCAGTGAGATGATGAGTCCGTCTTAGTTGTTTATGTATTATTATCCATGGCTGACCTCTAAGCACACTAAATGTGTTGGTACAGGCTGGAATACTAAATATTGAGGTGTCAAAACAAGCCGCAGGGATAATTCTGAAATGTATAGTTGTGTGGCTATAAACCATGTTAACACAACATGACATCTACAATCTGCTCTAATCAGCATTCTATCTTTTATACTTATGCTGTTGGATAATATTATTAAGATTAATAATGATATTTCAAACAAATGGAAAATATTGTGTTTGGTGGGTGGGTGGGGGGGGGGTACCTGATGAAAGGAGTGTAGTCCATGGACGGACAGGAGCATGAGGCGTTGGTCAGCTTTTTGTTAGATGGATTCAGAGAGATGTCAGAACCAAATTCGTGCACAGCTGTTAAAAGAACCAAGAATTAGAAATGATCTCATCATTAACTTACTGTATATGACAAGTAGAGGAAACAGAAAGTGCCAAAATATATAAATATATGCACGTTTGTGTGTATAAAATATGGTACCTGGCTCTCCGTTTTCTGTGTCATCTGTAGAAGTTTCATCACCTGCTTGGTGTTGGAGTTGGTTACAAAACTTGAGACGAGACTGTAATGCCTAAAATAAAACAAAACATTCCGTAGTTGAAGTAGTATTATAGTAATTTACACCATTTTCTAAATCACACCTTAAATATTTCTTCAGCAGATAACATTAGAAACACAAATATTGGAATGAATTAAACTGATGAGTAACTACATTGAATCACAACTGCTTGTTACCCTGGCACAGCGGCCTGCCTCAGCCATCTCCCAGGCTTTTTTAGTGGCTTTGATCCAGTCCCTCCTCTCTGTGTCCTTGGTCACCTTGATGCTCTCCGATTGGCCTGTATCACTGACCACACGCAGAGTCCAGTTGGCCTTAGACAGGTCAAGGCTCTGCACAAATATGTACACACACACGGACAAAAGCATGACACACACGCTCCAGCACACAAACATCCTAGTTGAAGGTCACTGTACCACAGCACATCATGTCTCTTTCAATGAGCCACTCAGACAGTCTGGTACACAGCCGGCGACCATTACATGCACTGTTCAGCTGTTTTGTCTTCATTGTTAATAATAGATCCATTTTTGTTCATTTATGCAGGGATCATTATGTTCTCTACCTCCACCAATGTTGTGCTCCCGATGCCAAGAAAATATTCACAATGGAGATGTATCTGTCACTATTATGAAAATGTCAGTCTTTAGGGTTTGACATGTAGCGCAGGAGAGAATAAAAGGCACTTGCTATGCAGCTCAGAGATTTATCAAGCCGCTGTGTTTCTATCTCCTCAACCAAGACAATTCTACTGATTACACACCATGAGATTGTATTATGTGATAAGCATCTCCTATTCAGTGTAAAGACACGCAGGTCAGTCTAGCAGTTGTGGGATTGGATGCATGTCAAAGTTGGCTGATAAGAAAATATGTAAATACTGAACTGCCTATTTAAATAGACATGTCCGGAGTGAGCTCATTATATGTGGATGGGAATATTTGAAGAGGAGTGAAGTGCGTACTCAACAGAAGTGCCTCTACAAACCCTCTTATTAAAAAGGTTAATATTACTAGTTTTGCCAATCCTGACCAAGTTTTACATTACCACTGCAGTTTGTCTAAACATAGGATACTTTGGAAAATACACTGTGGAAACAAATATGCAAGGATAACAAAAGCAGTGCAAGGCCTTCAGTTCGAGGGCATAACATCTACTCTATTTGAGTTGGCAAGAACGTTGGTAAATGAATGGTTTTCATAGATAGCATTGTATTATAAATTCCACTTGCAATCCAAAAAGCATATTTAATCCAATAAAAGCTAATGAAACGCAACAGTCATTTGGAAATGCAATTTGGCAGATATGATGAAGAGCTTTTCAGACTTCTCCTTAGCTACACAGTCCGTTAAAGGATTAAACTCCATCAACTCACCTCTGCGTTTACATTAAATATATAATCATATTTAGTTACTCTTTATATTATTTGATATGTATTTGTAACTGTACAATAGCCGTTGACAGTGTTGTTCGTTGCTTTATGTGCAGTGGTGAAGTATTACCGTTTCTTGTCTCGAGACAGATTTAGGGCTGGTCACTGGCTTCCCCTTCTCCTTCTCCTTGTCACCTTTTCCTTTGCGCTGGGCTTTGGGTGTTTCAGATGTGGTGGTGGATGACTGGTTCAGGTCCTCAGGCTGGTATTCTAAATTAAGCAAACAGAGAATAGGTAAATTCACTTTTCCTATAACTAGCTACAACGTCAAGAGTGTGAATACTCAGGTGATCTATACTGGCCACATGGTGTTTATAACTTGATGACGTCAATGTATTACGTTTAATAAATACATATTCTGCAGTTAAAAGGGATTTTGTTAGGAATCACTTGTTTGAGTATTCTGAAACATTTGACAAGCATACAGTAGTCGTATATACCTAAGAGCATTCAAGAGTTTTCCTTTCATACCATTATTTATGCAGAATTAATGTTTTTGTGCTTACCATCTTTACAGGTTTATACCAATCTAATTAAAGTGTGAACGGCTGACAACACATAGCATTCGTGTACATTCATCTTCACACTGAACCTTATATGCACATTCTTCTCAACAAAAAGCTCTCTGAAGGGGGAGTGAGCAAACAGGGCATGTGCTGTGCTGCCTCGTGTGTGCTAGATGGCACTGTTGCACTTTAAAGCTAAAGTGAACACAATCCCCAGTTTAGATGAGGCATTAGCTATGAGTCTCACTCCGCTGAAATAGAGAGGCGTAATCATCCATCATTTAGCTGACACCCTGCCACTCTGCCTCGACCGCTTTGGTGTATGCTTTTGAGTTACTAAGGGTCATGTAGAAATGCGATGTTCAGATTGAATCTTAATTTCTGTCTGTGTGTAATTTTAGGCTCACAATTTTAGGTGTACAATGATGTTTCAAAAAAGATAGCACCGTTGTTTAGATACAGGAAAACGTTGTAGAGGAAAACCACTGCCACAGCTGCACACACAGCTACTGCTGACGGCTCTAACGGTATATAAACTAGGGTATAAAGCAGAGATGGAGTTAGAAGTAAATGTGCATACATTAAACATGCGCAGTACAGTATTTTGACTGCAGCTTGTTAAACAGCTTGTTAAAGCGGTTTCAAAGCTTGGCGTGGCATGTAGTGCGTGTGTACACATGTAGCATGTAGGGGAGCATGATCAAGGGCACAGCCTCACCACTGAGACAGAGTTAAACTGGGTGAAATTAATTCACTCTCCTGCTGAGATATTTCCCAGGGCACCAGGGGGCAAGAGCCAACTTCATTTGACTTCCCATTGACCCACTTCCACAAGCTTATTGGAGAACCACAGGAGGTTTGTGTGGACATTGGACTACACGTACACACATGGACAAACCCATGTGAATGTTGGAAAAAACTAACATGCTCTATGAACAGAAGGCACATGTAAATGAACACACGGAATATCTCAGTAACAAATCATTACTGTTCATCTCGCACATGACCATTACTGTAATGAGTATCCAAACAGAGGTTTGTCTTCCTCTGTATTCCAAATACATCTGATATTTGGCTTATTAGTTTAGGAATGCCTTCAACACGCACATATGAGCACATATGCATGCGCACTGACAGACACACACTATCCTCAGATTTCCCAAAATGCAAACTGAATGGGTAAATACGGGAACTATCACAGAAGCAACGGAGAGAAGAGAATGACAATTTAACGACAGCATGCTGGCCTTTCTTTTCAGGCGATCATGCAAATTGTCACCCATGCAGCACCTCTGTCATATCAACATCCATCCATGTGGCAATTAATTCATCCCCTCAGAATTTTTAGGAAGCTTCTGCAGATTTCAAAGCCCTGATCCACTGTGTGCCGCATGATTAAAGGCAGAGAAGCAGAGTTGGTGGCAAAGGACAGGGTTATTGCCTCAGCCAACGAGCAGTGGGCACGAGAAATCTCACTCTGATCTGCACAAGCAGCTGTATTCATTTGGCTTTCATTAGGCCTGTGATTAACATACCCCTGGCTAGCAGAAGCCAAAAACAAACAGCGTCTGCTTTGGCCCCTGACACTGCCTAATGAGTATCTACCACGTTTCACACTCAACACAAAAATAAGCTGTGCAAAAACAAGCATGAATGCCGATTTGTTATTGGGATATCTGAACTCTGCATAATGTGTATTTAGACTCTTATTTGGATGTTCTGTTTAATTTCCTAGGGCGTCTCAGTGTAGCTGACTGTTTGATGTTGGATGTTAATTGTCTTAAGTGTCTACCTCTCATTTGATTCTTCTCCAAGTCTCTGAGTTTATGGACAAAAGCCAGCTGAGACTCGTCCAAATCCCAGCTATGAAGCACCTCTGCCTGCACCACATACTTATGACTCTGTGAAATACATACAAGCACATCAGTGTAAACTGATCCAGATTAAACACAGCATTACAAAAATAACCATATACAGCATCAGACATGTGGCATACAACATCATAAACCAACCCAGTCTCACGGCATTTCGTGTTCACCAACACGATTTTTAATCTATTGATTCGTGTTCACCAACACGATTTGTCCCTTTTTTTCGTGTTGCACAGAACGATTTTAAAAGCAATGTATTTCTACTGCCTGCAGCACGTCTTTTTCTCCGGTCGGGTCGAGGAAGACCGGAAGCTGTGTGGTTCATAAAAACATGTTCTTACTCAATATCAAGCCACAGTTATTGCTTTTATTTGAAATCGTATAATTTCGGACTTTTGTTGCCGTCTGTGAGGAAAATAAATGGGGCTCAGAGCCTCAGGATACTGAAATCTGTATTTTTTAAATCTTTTTTTCCTTCTAATTTGTTATTCTTTTCAAAATAACACACTGTTATTTACTCACCAATAACACACAATTATCCTTGCTTTTATTTATTGGTTTAATTCCATAATCTCGGGCTTTTTTGGCGTCCGTCAGGAACTGAATTTCAAAATAAAAATAACCGGAAACAGACGTAGGCATTTCGAGCAATTACCCAAGATCCTCAGCTATGGTTTTAAGCTCGCTAGCCGCAATGCATGCTGGGATTTGGTGTTTATATGATATGAAATCCGGAAAACATTTTAAAAGAATAAAATAATACTTAATTCCGAGCGCTCTTGCTTTTCTCTTTGAAAGTCATCACATAACGGCATTGTAATACACGGTTTGGCTGCATTGTATATTACAGATCTGCCGTAGTTCTTTATTTATAGAGCCCTGATGACAAGACCTTTGGAAAAACTGAGAAAATGCCGCCGAAACTGAATACTTGACGTGGATCATAAATATATTCAACAATTAAACAACATCTTCAATTTCTCTTCACACAATACGTCTCCTTGCAGTATCAACACTAATTCGGCAGACTTTTACATTTGATCTAATTCACAGATAGGTTATATTTACACCATAACGGTGCACAGCTGATATAAAAGGACTTGTAGTTTTTAAAGATATTACTGATTTTCTTTGAATGTAAGAATGTAAATACTGAGTCTGAAATAGTATAGCAATATGCTGTAAAATTATGTGAAAGCATGAATAAAACTACACATCTTCAGATGTTGTACGAAAACAAAAGTGTCCTACACTAATAATACAAAGTTATTATGGCTGTGTGTACCTTGTGTGCACCGCCTAGTGGTTAAAGCACGTTATTTAATTATTGTGTTTTATTTGATTAAAAAAATATTAAGAGTACATACTTTCATAGGGGGAAAGTATAAATATAGAATATAAAAAATCAAGAAGATACTATAAGTGATCTCTACAATAAAACAGTTTAGTGCAGAATGTACAAAGATATTAATAGGAGGAGGTGCAAAACAGAAAAACGAATTAACCTTTATTTAAACATTAAATAACAGATTAAGGTCTTCTTTTAAATAAGAAAAAAACTTTGGGGGTATCTATCTACAGATAAATATTAAGCCTGACAAAGTACTTAACGTCTAATATATTGCTTTCCTACAATGTTAACTATGTTGAAGCACTTATTTTAACTGATATTATACATATGAATTATACTCTTATGTATGTAGATATAATAAGAAATGTGCAGGATATGACAGTTTAATGGTGGAGGTACACACATATTGATAGATGTCTTGTAATGCACTGTTGAGGAACCTGTGACCCAAGTGTTTCATTCATTGCATAACTACACCGTAGTTGTGTATATGATATGTCAATACACCTTTGAAAATCTTGAAAGGGATGTGCAAAATAGCCATAATATACAGTCTTTAATTAACTATTAGTAGAGAATAACGAGTAATGAATATACTTTATTACTCGTTTCCATTCATGTCAATTGCAGATACATGTTTAGTCTTCTCAAGCACCAACTATCAAATATCTCTCCTGATTGTTGGCACTTGATAATCACCTTACCTGAATTTACTCAGGTGTAACTAAAGTCTGATTTAAGGGTTGTTTATATTTCACATAATTAATCAGAATCTGCAAAGTAACTCAAATAAATGCAGTGGAGTAAAAATACCAGGTTAACCTCTGAATTGTAGTGGAGTAGAATTACAAAGTAACAATGAGCTGTCATGTGGGTATTAATGCTGCGCATTATGGACACAAGCGATTTTCACCCATTTATTAATTATATGTTTTACATTTGATAACACCAATGTGTTTAATACTGGCAACTTCTAGTTGTGGGAAAAACGAAAACGTTCAGTAGAGACGTCCCATAGAACATTTTGCGAAACACAATAGCCAGCATGTGTAGTTCTGGGGGGGCGTTCGATTCCAGTTTTGGATAGTCTGGCGTGGTTTCGTTCCATTTCACACAGCTGTTTGATGCTCGGCGTAACCTTACGGGGACTGTAGTCCTAAACGATAGCTGGGGATTATGGGTAGTGTAGTGTCTTCGGCCATCCTAAACTCAGAAATGTTGACAATCGCAATGATGCTCGAAATGTCCCTTATATACGTCTGTTTCCGGTTATTTTTATTTTGAAATTCAGTTCCTGACGGACGCCAAAAAAGCCCGAGATTATGGAATTAAACCAATAAATAAAAGCAAGGATAATTGTGTGTTATTGGTGAGTAAATAACAGTGTGTTATTTTGAAAAGAATATCGAATTAGAAGGAAAAAAATATTTAAAAATACAGATTTCCGTATTCTGAGGCTCTGAGCCCCATTTATTTTCCTCACAGACGGCAACAAAAGTCCGAGATTATACGATTTCAAATAAAAGCAATAACTGTGGCTTGATATTGAGTAAGAACATGTTTTTATGAACCACACAGCTTCCGGTCTTCCTCGACCCGACCGGAGAAAAAGACGTGCTGCAGGCAGTAGAAATACATTGCTTTTAAAATCGTGCTGTGCAACACGAAAAAAAGGGGCAAATCGTGTTGGTGAACACGAATCAATAGATTAAAAATCGTGTTGGTGAACACGAAATGCCGTGAGACTGGGTTGCATAAACACACAGCCAAAACAAGATGGAAGCCATTTTGTTTTTTGTGAACATACATCTGTAATCTGCACTGTAACTGCTGAGCATCATAGGGAACTCAAATGTTTTAACAAGCACATGCATTATATTGTCTGGTGTTGTTGTTTCGGTTGTATTGAACCTAATGCATAAAGAGATTTGAATGTTATGAATTCCTATAAACACAATTTCTATGGATAAATGAAGGCCACAGCACTTTTTTCTCCATCTCCAACAAATCTCACTACAGGAGCCTTCAGCATTAATTTACTGAGCATCAATATGTCTGGTGTGAAATCCTGCGGTGCTTTAATTACTGACCCTTTGCGCTAAGTCTTGATCAATGGTCTTAGTTGTGATCAATAGCTGTTTATTATGGCCTGCTGCTGATCTAATCTATGGGATCTGACATGATCCGTCTCATTACTATTGATGTCACTCCTGTTGGGTTCATTTGAAAGCACTATATAAATCACAAGTATTTGTAACGTGCAAGATGTGAAAAAATGTACTTCATAATAGGTTTATTGAAAAGAGAGAATCATTTTTGTAGTTTAGTGTCTGAAAATCTATTGTTTTTCTTAATGAGGTTAAACAGAAGTCATGTTAAAATGATGGGTTCTGCTGATAGAAATGACAGTCACTACATCAAAACAAATACACCTCAGTTCATATTTATGGACATAGTGTGTGTTTTGCCTGCCAGTGCCTGATGGTGCACACATAAAGTACTCACTGTATACTTTGGCAATCATTAATCTAGCACAACAGGTCTGTAGATAGGGGGTCTTCAGACAATCGAGTGACTCATAAATCATGTGTAAATCACTGCTCACTGACAAGCACTGATAAGACAGACAACAAAACCACCCCTCCAGTTTCCGTTGCTCTCCTCTCGCACATTTGTACTGAGTAAAAGATGAGTTTGTGGGTGTGATTAAGTTCATGTGTGTGCTTGTGTGCATGCTTTCAAGTCAGGCGTTATGTGTATTTGGCAGTGAAAAATTGATATCAACACAGGCAGCAAGTAAGTGTGTGAGAAAGACAGAGAGGGAAAGTGAGATGCAAGCTTGTGTGCGAGTGAGATTAGTAAAGTGTTTGAGCAACAGCAGATACCATGCAGGCAGTTGTCAGTGATACCATAGTCTCTGTGGAAGGCTGGTCAGACGAGGAGTCTGAATTCCCAGCTGTTGTGTCCTCCTCATCTCTCTGCTGGAGGGTGTCTGTAGCAGAAAGAGAGATATTAAACTAAACCCTTATCTGAGAGAAGACAAATTAGCCAGTAATCTGTCCTTTTGTTACTGACGGGAGCATCAAGTGAAAAGTAAAGTGGGTTTTGTAGAGGTCTTGTGTCTCTACTGTCAACCTGTACTTTACTGTGTATCAGGCTAGCATAAACAAAAGGCCAGTTTAATATGACATTAAATGGTCAGTTTTTAAAAACTAAAACATATTTTCTCTTGGCTGGATTTACCAATGTTTCCCTCCATCCCAATACAGTAGAATTTATTTTAAATGGTGCAATAATAACTTTTGAACAATTTAAATGGAGTGTCTGGTAGCCGAGTGATAAGACCCCAATGATAACCTCAATGACTGTGTGGTTTGATTCTGAACAGAGACCTTTGCTGCATGTCATACTCCTTTCTCTCTCTGTATTGGAAAACCACAGGAGGTGTATCTAATGTGTTTCCAATACATTAACACTGATAAACTGATTTAGCATTTTGCCTTTGAACAGGCTTCTTTCTAATGCCATGATTGACCCACATGTTGTGATTGAGCTACAACAGAAAAAGGTGATCCAACCGATCACATCATATTATTCCTGATGACTTTGTCCCTACAGGTACATTTGAAAGACATCAACTTCAACCAATACAGTAGATAAATTCTTCCATTTTGCATGAAGCTTTTTTTTGAAAATATTTGAAACCACTTGTATCACTCTCATTATCCAGCACCTGATCTTAATTTAGGAAACTACCGTACATGTAACTCTGTAATACCCAAGATAGAGCACTTTGACAAATCTTCTGTCATGATCCAGAATGATTTTATTTTATAACTTATATTACTAAACCTTACCTTTGTTAGCCAGGAAGCAGAACACAGGGATTACCACATGACCCTTCCCAGTGTTGCTAGCCATCTCATTCTCCTGGTCCAGGATGGACAGTCGGATCAATACATCTGGCTTGGAAGTCTGAAACTGAACAGTCCCTACAACGTCTGCTGTCACCTCCACAAAGTAACTGTTAAACAAAGTTTCAAATGATTGTGGGTAGTGGGTACCATCCGTCGTTCAGGGTAACTTTGATGTTGTTTTGTGCAAACAACCTTTTTTTCACCCATTATTTTTAATATTTATGATTCATATGTTGTAGTGAGCGTACAAATCAGTAACAGCACTGTTTTGTTGATCCAAGTAACATGGATTTCAATTGACAAGTTTAAATATATAATTCCTATTATAAATAGGATAATTAATTATATAGTTTTTAATTCTCTTACCGACATATGAGGTTCTTCTCATTGGGAATGTAATAATCCCTCAACTCCTTCACAGAGAATGTGTTGAGTGGATTCTCACGAGACAGTTTTGGCAGGAGTTCCCTTGAGCCAATCAAGCGCATCCTCCACTTTGCACCAACAGGGGGGCATTCAGGCGTGACAGCCTCTGCTACAAAGGTATAACCAAGCTGCAAGAGATTTACAGAGATGAAATCAAAACATTTGTTTTTTCAGAGGTGTGTGTGTGTGTTGGACAGATGTAAAAAGGGAAAAGCACAACTGGTTTACTGTTTTCTCTTTTAGGCAGTGTTTCACATCTTAAAAAAATAGAGATCCTGCCAACATTAAATCACCAGACAGCCATAAATGGTGGCAAGACAGTCAGAAAATATGACCCCAGTTTTTTTATTAAAGGTGGGGTAGGTAAGTTTGAGAAACCGGCTCGAGATACACTTTTTGTTATATTCCATGGAATGTTCTTAACATCCCGATAGCAATGAATATCTTAAGTGCTTTGACAAAAAATCCATTAAAAAAATGTCATCTGTGGAACCCGTAATATTGTAAAAAGTACAACCAATCCGTTTAGCCGGCCCGGCTAAACGGATTGGATTGCCGCCCTGTCTGTCAGCCTTCCATCTCGTGCACGCACACATGTATCTCGTGCCTTCATTGGGCGTGCCGTCATTGGGCGTGCATTGCAGCAGTACTTCAATGACTCGCCAGCAACAGGCGGCCACTTTCACCAGTCTGCTGACGTCATGTGCGCGTTCATGTGTGTTGGAGGAGGTGCTCTGTAAGGAAGTCTGAAGGAAGGGGCGGATTCTTTTCGGCTGTGTACTTTCAAATGTTAGTGCACTCGAGCCTGTTTCTGAAACTTACCTACCCCACCTTTAAGTCAGGCAGGAAGTATAACTAAAGTGAATGAATGTATCTTGGTAATAGGAAAAACTGGAAAAAATATGCAAATATTCCACACACAAGAAAATATAAAGTACATTTGAAGTCAATTTGGTCAATCCACAGACCTTATTGGGTTGATATACTTGTTCTGCTACATTGCTGAAGAGCGTGTCCAGCTCCTCTCCTGTGTCATTATTTATGACGTGCAGCAGACAGTTGGGGATTGGGGAGTAGATCTTTGGTACCAGCAGCATCTTTTTAGGAACCAGGAAGACCTCTCTGCAGAAACAACAGGTACTGTAATACGGTCTGACCAATGATCTTTTTCAATCGTTTCTGTTGATATTCTAAAATGGGATGTCATAGAAATATCTACATTCCCCAACATTAATTGTTCGTTCAGGAATCAAATCTGAGTTCATTGCGTGAAGGCAACATATTGGCATTTGTTGAAAATGCGATGCTTTTCAAGTTCGGTCACTGTCTGTCAGTGACAAGCCTAACAAGCGTTAAGTTACAATGTTCTCTAACCTAAAGACCAAGACCCAGGAATTGGCTGTGTCTTGGAGAGGGACAGAGTAATCAGCGAAGGAGACTCTGGTCCATTCATCCTGCTGACAGGGGTAGAGCTCTGCTTTACTCTCAGAGCGGTCAATGATATACCTGCGCAGAAAACACAGAAGAGCAGAGCACTTTCAGTACATTTATTTTCAATGATCTTTACATTTTAAATGTTAAATAAACACGTGAAAAGATCATGGGAATGTTTATTTGTAGAAAATATTTACACAAACTTATTTGAATAAACATAACTCTATTGTATCTGATAATAATACAAATACATTGACGTAAATGCACTTCTCCTCTCAGCGTGATCTTTGGCTCTGGATGTCAGTTAAGAAAAGCTCATGCTCAAAGGCACACCATCAACCCCCACTCCACCCTTCACACACGCACAGGCACACACACACACACACGCTGACCAAGCTTTTCAATGCCTATGCACACACATACTTCCCCAGGCAGCGGGTCATTCGGCAGACGCTGCTAGCCGATTGGAACGAGGAGAGGATAAACAGCAGATGGTACCACTGGGAAAAGATGGAACACAATGTGGAAAATGCTCCCTGCCTGGCCGCCACGGGCCGCCACAACCAGGAGAGGGAGCAGATTCTGGGCATGCGGTGCAACAGGGGGGCTAAACGCATGCCATACAACAAACACAACATTGGCACAGGACTGCAGTGGGAGCGCATGTATTCTCTCAAATAATAATAAGAATAGTATTCTCTCCAATAATGAGATTTGTGTGATGAATACCTGCTAGGTTAATAGGGAAGAGGTCTTTGTGTATGCAATTCATACATTGTGTGCACATTATTTATTGTCATTCAGAGTCATTGTGGTTACGCATTTATTTACCGTAGCAAGAGGGCAGCATGCTTTTCTGCATCTGATTCAACCTTCGGCCAGATGTCTGAAAGGATCTTAGATGCACTGAGGTTTTCCTTCCTGCCTGAATTATATCAACATACACACAAACACATTACACACACACATAGAAAAGTAGCCACCATTAAAGATTTAAGACAATCCATGTTGCTGTCTAACACGTGAACAAAAATAATGAAGCTGACCTAGTTCAGGGTATGAATCAGACATTTCAAAATGCGTTTTTGTCTCATTCAGTGAGAGGTGATAGGAGGAGATTATTCACACCTTGACATTAACTGTCACACTCATCTCAGCCGACAGTTACCCACTCTGACAGCCGAGAACATTAGATAAAAGATGCAGTACCGTGTTCATGAAGATGTGTGTGTCAGTAAGTGTTTGTCTGTGCAGATGAGTGAGAGAAACGCTCTGAAGAGACAGCTGCATGACACAAGTTAGGTGTCCTCACATCCTCCCTCCAGCTCAGCACTTGCTTTTCAAATGCCCCCTTTTCCAAATTGATCCAGCCATTATAGCAGGCCGTGTCTGGCTATTGAGAGATGAAGACCTCTTATCCTCTTTAGAATCACAGACAGGCGGAGAGCAAATTAGGCAGCAGGAAAGAGATGAAGGAACAGTTGAAAAGAGGAGGGAGGAGTACAAACACATGTGGTATAAACAAATGTGCTTAAGAAAAAATAAAAGGCAAAATTGTACTTAAAATATGATTGGTGTTTTGACATTACTGTAAGTGCCACTCTGATAGCTGCACTTTGTGCTTTGTCAAGTAAATGAATACAATTTGGGAGAGCTTAACCATGACAGGCCTATGTCATACAAGCCAAGCTTTTCAGTCTATTTGTGTGTGTGTGTGTGTGTGTGTGTGTGTGTGTGTGTGTGTGTGTGTGTGTGTGTGTGTGTGTGTGTGTGATCATGCCTATGCCACATAACCACCAGCATTATTTGTAAGGTTGCTGGCAGATGGGTTCTACAGTATAATGACGTGGATGTTTTTATGTTTGCTATGATCCAAGCAAATGTTCAAGCCATAAAGAAATTGGCAAATTACATGAACGCAAATGATCAGCCCTATTTTATGCAAATACTGCATCCATGAGGCTGTGTATATTCCAATGGGTGACAGTGTCAAGTGTTGCATCTGGAGAAGACACAGTTAGCTTCAGGTCTTGGTAAAAGCTACAGAATGTCTGAGCAATGAAAAGCTGCAAACAGTAGTGCACCTTCACAGTGAGATAATTACCACCAATTTTAGAGACAATAAGATATTAAAAATGATTAACGATTAAAATTAGTAGGTAACAAAATGGAAATAGGCTGCAAAAGGCTTAATTTGCAGTGAAAGAGTACACAAACATTATTCCAAGCAATATTATTGAATACATTTATTGATAAAAGCTACTCAGTGCTGTCTCTAATTAAAATGTGCATTCTTTCCAACAAGCTGTCCAGTCTTTCCAAGTCCCCCATCTTTCACTTGCTGTCACTATTGAGAGGTATGGTTATTGATGAATGTTGTCTTTACGCATGTGCACATTTCCCAGATATGTGTGTATTTCCCCTCTGTGGCTACCCCTCATCTGTCAGGGTGTATTAGTAAGATTGGTAGTCTCATCAATACATATGTGTGCCTCTGCTCAGAGACTCGATATAAGCCACTGGGCTAAATCAAACAGTGAATGATGTTTCATGTGTGTTCTCAGATATAAATAATAATCGACATGTTTTTATTTATTTTTCCCTTTTTTGGTTCCTTTAGCTGTCGCAAATGCTGTAGATGTGTTTGCTTTTCAAACATAGAGAATTGAGGAAATAAGCTGAATTCAAGACCACCCAATCAATATTTGGTGAGTATTTTGGACTTCTATATGACTAAAGGATAGGATTCAAAGCTGACCATGCTACTTGAATTATTACATTCTCTATGTGTGAATGAGAGTGTTTTGAGGTGTTTCTTATTTCTCGAACCAAATGTCCTTTAAACCCAGCCTGAAGAATTGTGAAGGAAATAATGTAGAAACCATAGTAATCTACCTAAATTGATTTAAATCAGTGTAATGTAGTTTTGAGTATATACTTATACTAACGTATGCAGATGTACAATACACAGAATGGCACTTACTTGTATCAGAGTGTTCTTTGGGGTCCATTTCCAAAGGTGAAGGGTCAGCTGTGAGAGCCAGTACAGCAAAGCGCTCTTCTGATGTCAGCTCCCTGCCCAGAGCCTCACACAGCATGCTGTACACTGCAAAGTTAAACACCTACACACACAGTGATAGTGCAGGAGGGTGTTATCAAGTGTGTGTCTGCATGTGAAGATGCTTATTTTCCGGCTGCTTAGATTTTTGTAATTACATCCTCGTGAGTAGTTGGCTGTGAAGTTGGCTGAAGGAGTTAATATTCATTTATGAATCTTTCAGACAAGCCCCCGTGTTGCTCAAGTAGGTGGGAGGTTAGTCTGCACATCATTCACCTTTTTCAATAGCCATATACTGTAGGTAAGTGTGTACTGTATATACACTGTGTCTGTCTTTACCAGGAATCAAAACCTACAGATATTGATAAGTATGAACTTTCGAGCTTGGAACAATATAAAGCAATTTGATATCTGAAAAAAAAGTAAGATTACTGTTTTACTATTTTAATATTAAATGCTACTTTTACAAAGTAACAGCCTTGTACAAAAATGTAGCCTTGTAACCATGAGTATTAGCTTAGCACATTGTTAGCTTCTGGCCAGGACTGATCATTTTTAAATGGCAATTTCAGTCTTTAAACTATAATATCTGTTCCATTACCAAGCTAAGCTATGTTAAGCAGGGTGACGTATCCACTCAACGTACACAGGAACTGTGTGCCATCATAGGCTAACAAGCTACCTCTTGGTGTTCCCCTTTCGCCAGGCTGGTGTTGATGTTCTGCGGACAGTGAGTCTCTTCCAGGTTTCTTCTGGCTGCTGGCTGATCCTGCTCATCGCTAAAGGAAGACACCACTCTGGAGAGGGCCTTAAAGATGGAGGAGGCCTGCTCTATGAAACGAGCACTTTCCTGTTTTGAACAGGAAAACACATATCCAGATATAAATATAAAAAAAGATTATTATTAATCAAGGATTAATAGAGGATTGTGCAGCCTCGGCAGAGGTATTCATGCTCCGAGTGCTGTCTAGTTCATTTGTTGGGCAAACACTGCATATCTCAATCAAAACGTCCCCCTGTTAGAGCTTTAGTGAGTGAGGAAATGACTTTGAGAATGAGAAGGAAATTAAAGAAATATGCATATAATAATAATAATAATGCATTTTATTTATATAGCGCTTTTCACAACTCAAAGAGGCTTTATAGTATGAGGGAAGGTAGACAAACAAGGACAGGCAAACAAGTAAATATAGTATATATATATATAGTAAATATATCACCCCTCATGCTATCTTGTGGCATGATGTATTTTTTAAAGCTATCCACATCTCGATTCGTCTGTTTAAGAGGATGTATGAAAAAGCAGCAAACAATTATAAATGTCATGTAGCTTAAAATGCATCCACAGATAAAGAAAACAAATATAAATGAATATTCCTTATTCAGAAAACAAGGTACAATTACCTTTCAAATCCACAAATACTTGTGTGTTTTGGAAGTCATCTGATTGTCAACTGATAACTAAAGCCCTCGTTACCTTGGTGAGGTTTGACATGATGGTTTCTTCACCCCCAAAGATGAAAGGTGTCTTGCTGTATAGGTGAACGTGGTAACCCAGTGCTGCCTTTGTCTGGAAGGACAACACATGGCGCCTATAAGGGAGAGAAAGCATTCTAAGTGTTTTCAAAACAACAACATAAATCCTGGTGTTCGGCACACTATAAATTCCTCTAAAACAGCGGGCACTCATCTGTTTCACCAGTGACCCTTTAAAGAGAGGTGAAGTCTTTTCATGAAGCCTTTTCACTGGCCGCATACTTTGCTACAAGGTCAATAAAAGAGTGATGTTGCCTTCTTAGATCATTTCACAATAACTGTTCTAATAAATAATCACTCAACCTCTCAGATTTGTCTTGCACCTCCTTGCAATTCCTTGTTGGGCTCTTGACAATTTGTGCTCCCTACTTAAATTAGGAAATGTATAGTAATCAGTACATAGAGAAACCCTCCACCAACCACTTGTTTTTGGTAATTGTAACTGTACTATCAAGGACAAAATGTGTTACATAAGTGTGAATAAAATCCCTTCCTAGACTTAAGAGTAGTACTATGTTAGTTCAAGTAATACCGAATGGGTCAAACGGTCGGAAGTGTCCTAATGTCCAATGTGCCAAGTTGAGTTCACAGGGCCTTGTCAGCCATGAGAGAGTGGAACCCAACTTCCATGGCCCCATTAGCTTTACATAATTCAGCCATCACATCCTAACTAAATGGATGAGCACTGAGGCAGAGCTGGGCTGGTGCTGTAGAAGCAGAGGGGAGTGTAGAAAATATACAGAGAGAAAGAGAAACGGATGGGAGGAAGGGTAAAAAAGGTGAGGTGTAAGGCAAGGCAAGGCAAGTTTATTTATTTAGCACCTTTCAACACAAGGCAATTCAAAGTGCTTTACAAAAAATGAAAGAGATTAAGAAAATGGCATTTAAAATCAGTCATTAAAAAGAAAAGCTAATAAAATAAACATTAAAAGAAAAAATACATGGATAAAAGTTACAGTGCAGTCTAAGATATGAATAGTTCAATTAAAAGCAGCGACAAAAAGAAAAGTCTTTAGCCTGGATTTAAAAGTAGTCAGAGTTGTAGCGGACCTGCAGGTTTCTGGGAGTTTGTTCCAGATATTTGGAGCATAATAACTGAACGCTGCTTTACCATGTTTAGTTCTGACTCTGAGGACAGAAAGCTGACCAGTCCCTGAAGACCTGAGAGATCTGGATGGTTCATCATTTAGCAGGAGGTCAGAAATGTATTTTGGGCCTAAACCATTCAGTGCTTTATAAACCAGCAGCAGTATTTTGAAATCTATTCTTTGACACACAGGAAGCCAGTGTAAAGACTTCAGAACTGGAGTGATGTGATCCACTTTCTTAGTGTTAGTGAGGACTCGAGCAGCAGCGTTCTGAATCAGCTGCAGCTTTCTAATAGATTTTTTAGTGAGACCTGTGAAGACACCATTGCAGTAGTCGAGTCTACTGAAGATAAAAGCATGGACAAGTTTTTCCAAATCCTGCTGTGACATTAGTCTTTTAATCCTAGATATATTCTTTAGGTGATAGTAGGCTGATTTAGTAACTGTTTTAATGTGACTGTTGAAACTCAGGTCAGAGTCCATGACTACACCTAGATTTCTGGCTTTATCTGTTGTTTTGAACATTGCAGGCTGAAGCTCAGCGCTAACTTTTATATGTTCTGACTTGGCTCCAAAAACCATTACCTCAGTTTTATCTTTGTTTAATTGGAGAAAGTTCTGACACATCCAGTCATTGATTTGTTCAATGCACTTACTCAGTGTTTGAATTGGAGCATAGTCTCCTGGTGAAATTGTTACGTACATTTGTGTGTCATCTGCATAGCTATGGTAACTTATTTTGTTGTTCTTCATTATCTGAGCCAGTGGTAGCATGTAGATGTTAAAGAGAAGAGGCGTAGGTGTAGGGGAGAATACAGGAAGAAGAGAGAAGTGGAGTTGAAAGGGGAAAAATGGGAGTTGTACGAAAGAAGAGGACAAAAACCTCTTTTTACATGAATGGACACACAGGACAGTGATGTATGTTCAAAAATGTTAAATAAGAAAGCAAAACATAACATATTGGCAAAATAGTATACCACATACAGTTAACATGGGCTAAAAGTGACATGCAAGAACTAAAATAGTGGACGTGTTTTTCCAGGATGTGTTTTTATTACATGTGCCAAGTGCTAGGACTGTTTTAGGTACTAAAGCTTTTATGTGTGCTGCTCCTCTAGCTTGGAACACTATATGCAAATCAAATTGAAACTGAGCATTTTGGTTCCCTTGCATCATTTTAAAGCTCGTATAGATGAAATGTTATTAGATATCTGTCATTGTGAATAGGTTGCTAATGTATACCCCTGTAATTATGTTGTATTGATGTCCTTTTTGTTTTCTGTTGTTTTTATGTGTAACCAATGTGCTGCAGGTCTCCCTTGAAAAAGAGATCGTTGATCTCAATGGAATTTTCACCTGGTTAAATAAAGGCTACAAACAAACAAACAAAGATTATTGCTACAGAAAAGCCTGGATGTCAGCTATTCTCTCTTGGAGTGAGTGTGCCATGGGGCATTTGGGCATAATAAGTTGAGTGCGGTGTGTGAAAATGGCTTAGTGGTAATTGCACTGCTGCATACCTGCATCTGACCCCAGAAACTAGGCCCTCTGCTTCTAGGCCAAGTAGCACCCATTAATAGAGAGTAGGACAGATGCTTTTTACCGCTTTTCAGAGCATCTAAAGTAGGCAGAAATCCTCTGCTCAATTTATGATAGCTTTAAGTAGATCTCTGCATAGCGGTGTGAAAAAGATCACAAGAAGAGTGAAAAGCTTCCTAAAAAAAAACGAATCAAAAACTCTCAAGGGTGCTGTTCAAAATATGCTTACAGGTTCCCATGATGACAATTAAAGCTCTAACCTTGGCATCATTATTGCAATGCAGAGGAGCGCTTAGGGTAATTTGTCGTTATGGGTTGGAAGCTTGAAGTTGGAAAAAATAAATGTGAAGAATTGTGAGAAAAGATACCATTTTGTAGAGATAAGTAAAGAAAATACGAGTTATTAGCCATCAAGGTTGATAGATTAGACTGGTCATAGTGTCAAACATTTGCCTATATGTAGAATATTTCACGAGCATTGCATGGTTATCAAAATGTTCCACAAGCAGAGAGAAGAATCAAAGTACCCCCATATCAAATATTGTACGTATGAAATGGCATACTAAACCATTACCTCCTGTGGGAGTCCTTTGGTATTAGGTAGTCCCCACTACCTAATACCAAAGTAATATCCTAATAAAAATGGTTGAGCATGCAGTCTATAAAATAGATTTGTGACTGTAAATTAACTTTATCTAAGCCTTTCATTTTGATCAATACAACACACAGTTCTCAGTATTCATTAATGCTGTCCTACCCCGGGGGTAAGTTAAGCACGGCTGCTTTTGAGGTGGTGGTCTTGATAGTGAGAATTGGCAGCTCAGACTGCAGGCTTTTCCAGGAGAAGGTCTGGGCGGTGAGAACTGCAGACGTACATACTGATGCTTCCTTTTCTATGAAGTGTTGGAGAGCAAAGACAGAAAATGTGCATAGTGACAAAGCACATTGAACTATCATGAACACAGTAGGCTATACATTCATTAGATAAATGTTGTTTTACTGTTTTTAGGAACATTATAAACCTATACTGTATATCCCACACACTTATGCAAATGCTTAGATATAGAATTATAACTGCTTGATTTAGTCAAGCGCCTTACATTACTTGCATCGGAAAATCTTTATGTGTGCAGAAAATGTGTGTGCGTGTTCATAATCCTTACTCTCCTCAGCTGTATACGCCCAGAGAAGCAGAGCAGAGAAGCTGATGTGGATCTGGGGATGCTGCACGCTGTCCACACACAGGTAGTGTGTGCCTTTTACCTCTGGACTCTGGGGAGGGGAAGATACCCACCCACACACACACACACACACACATAAGCAAACACGCACGCAGGCGCACGTACGCCACATGCACTGAAACACACAAAGGCAGTCAAGGAAAAAGACAAGCAAAAGACAGAAAGCCATAGGGAGGGGTGATGATAAACTGATAGACGAGTGGCTTGAAGAAGATACAGGGGGAAGGGAGAAGAAGAGGTGGGTGAAGTAAATAGGAAGAGATGAGTGAGTGAAAGAAGCATTTGAGGTAGCACCTAAAAGATAGTGAAGACGGTGAATTTAGTCATGTAAGAAAAAGCAGCTGTGAGAGAGACAGTGAGGGAGACAAAAGAGGGAGGGAAAAAAAGACAGATAGGGAACAAGAAAAGAGGGAGAGAATGCATACGTGTTCAGAGTGACAAGCAGACTCAGTGCTCACACAGGCGTATAAACACACAGACATTTAAGACATACACACACTTGCATACGTTCACTCATATACAACTGCACAGGTGTGTTTATGTAATGTATGTTACTTTAAGAACTAAATAGATTCCTTAATTGCGTGTTTTGAATTGGAAATATTGGGTTGACAAAAACACTATTAATTCAAAGTTTACTAACTAGCTGATAACCAGATGCCAATAATGTGACAACAGTTCCACACATGACAACTGAGCCATCTCCATGAGAACTAAGCAAACACTTGTGGGAATCGTATTGTAGATGGCAAAATGTGTGCTTATGTGCAATAGGTGCATGTGTGTGTGTTTATGTGTGTTTGCATGTGTGTACTTCAGGGCTTGCTACAGTAGATATCAAAGGACTGGATCCAGTGATGTTAGTAGCTGACCCAGTAGGGTTGGTGCCTGTTGCAGTTTTGGCCAGGACGGTGCTCTGTGAAAACAAACAGCTATATTAATGACGACAAATACAAAACTGACAGCAAGAACCAGCAGTAAATTGTAAAGATGCACAAAGTAAGGCAAGGCAAGGCAAGTTTATTTATATAGCACTTTTCAACACAAGGCAATTCAAAGTAGTCACTAGATTGTTTTGTGATGATGTAAGCTATACCTTAAAATTAGATTTGTGGATCTGATGTGGGAAGCATTGTGGTGTATGGAAAACCAAGAGGGTCCTGGAAGAAATGTAGAAATAAATGCCAGTTATTTATGAGCTTAGTAAATAAAAAACAATTAGAAACATTATCACGTATTTTGCAACGTGTTCATTTGTTTCTCTATTGGTACAGTCTGTTTGCAGTACATATTTGTGTCTGTGTCTCACTGAAAGCATTTGGCAAAATCATCCAGGTCCACCCAGGTCTCCTGCAGGATGGGATTGAAGGGAGTGGTGGGGTCCGAAGTTAAACGATCCTCCAATGCAGTTTTGGGTCGATCTGGAGGGGAGATTAATTTGTGATTGTGAGTGTTAATGATAAAAAACATTTTTGTTTAGTTAGACATATGTTGTAAGGTAGCAAATGTATTTTTAAAATGTATTTATATGTATACATGTATTCAGTATAACTCATTATATCCTGCAGTATGTAAATAAATAAAAAAACATGTCCTCATAAAGCTGAGTAGAATGTCAGCTTTACTGTTGTGAGTCATGCCACGCTTACCAGATAGACACTGAACTGCCTGTGAAATCTCCTTTATAAAAATGCTGCAAGTAGCAAAATGCCTTTCCTCTTGTGACTCATATCAAGTTATCCGAGACTCAAATCATTATCTTAAACACAGTGAGTCGAATTGGCCAAACTCCCACATAAAGGCATAGTTTAAGCGCACATGCACATCTATACTCCCACTCACTGGCTCCCACAATCTCAATGCATGCAGAGCAAAGTCATAGACGTGCACACAGTCACACACACTCCACCCATAAAACACACACACCCTCACACACTGACACCGTTGCTCTGCCCCCAGGCTCTTCTCGAAGCGAAATGTCTGATCAGAAAGCTGAGGCGTCAGTGTCTCTGCTGCTGAGCTATGTGGTATGCTAGCTCAAACGGCAGGTGTTACTAAGCAACTAAACGGGGGCAGAGAGAAGGCAGGGAATTGGCTTATTGGCATAATTTCACAGTCCCATCTTCTTCAAAGTGACTTGGCCAACTGATGGAAGCATGGATAGAAAGATGGAGGGAGTGGAGGCGAGATATGAAATATTTCCAATCCCATGAATTGGACTACTCTACAAAGATGCTGTTTAATGCAACTCATAATGAAGATATTGCCTACATTCATCATAAAGAATAAAACAATATCAATGACCATCTACCCAATCTGGCATCATAATATTTGACCTTGGGAATGCGATCTTGTGTACTGATACAGTGTGGATTACTTTCAACATGAATGTTGGGACCAGCAGTGCAAAGCAGCCGTTTTTACCATTGGATATGTCATCGTTGTCCTTCTTCCTGTCCTCTGCAGTAACCTAAAGGGACAGAAAGAGAGAGAGAGAGAGAGAGAGAGAGAGAGAGAGAGAGAGAGAGAGAGAGAGAGAGAGAGAGAGAGAGAGAGAGAGAGAGAGAGGGATGAACAGGGAGTTGCTGATGGAGTAACACTGCCAGAGAAACGCATCCGCCCTCTAGTGATTCCATGCCAGCTGTGGTGTTGAGCCACTCTCGCCGTACACCACAGGACACGAGACCCGGTTTAATGTGACAAGAACTGCATCCCTCCTGCTAAAAACACCACCAGGAAAAACCAGCTCTAATATAATTCCACTGTCGGATGAAGAGTTATTATGTTGTTGAGCATGTTACTTCTCTTAGAGGGGAATTACTCAACAGCTGTGATTTCATGCTTGTCTGCCCAACACAATAAAGAAAAATAGCTAATAAGTCATTGTCAAATCCTTCAGATACTACATTGTTCTGTCTGCGCCATGCGAGAGATGATGTTGCCAGGAAAAAGGCTTCACTGCTGCTTTAAAAACACAAGATAAATGCAAGTGCAAGAAGTGCTACACCTGTATCGACTAAACAAACTTTCCTCGAAGGAAAATCCCTGGTGAATGTCCAGTAGTTTACTTTGCTCTGAATAGGAACTATGTCTTTGTGTCGTGTAACCTTGCAGCAACCCTCGCCAAGACTTTCAGATGAGTCACAGTGAATGTGTGTCTCTGTGTGTGAGTCACAACTTATTTGAATGAGTACCCAGAGACCCAGACAGACGGAAAGAGGCATGGTGATAGGGAGGCACACTTGACCTTCCCTCAACCACTAGCAACATTTTCACTGCAAATAAAAACAAATAAAGATGAGTTGAGATAGGAGTGTGTACAACTTTGAGTCAAGCTCCAAGGCATGGGATGAGCTGTCCACCCACAGCATGATATGTATTAGATCCCTTACCTGAGTACAGTAAGGGGACAATGAGACTGATAGATGTTACACACAATGCTCGTCGGATTTGATTATGTTGCCATAAAGCGATAAAGCTATAATTATTGTGGTTAGATCACAGTTTTGGTCGATTGGTGGAACAAGGCTCATTTCTATAATCCCACACTTTATGGGGTTTTAGTTTGGACAGCCAGACTAGAGCTAAGTAGTTGCTCTCCAAAAGGTTATCTACACCTGAGGTATAGCCCATTTCCTACATGAATAATATCAAATCAAATCAAGTAAAAGATATATTTTGGGCTATTCACAGCTCGCAGGCAGAGGGATTTCCATTGATCTCAGAGCCCAGACGTAGTGTAGCTAAAGAAGTATTGAAATGTACTTATCTGGCACAAGTAAACTTAAACCACGGAGGGGCTTTAGCGATTAACCACATTCCAAGCATTTCAGTTTAAAACAGCCCCGTTTCACCAAGGTCTAATTCTTTTACCCACACTAATGTTGAGTAAGTAGGCTAATGAGGGTATTAGGGACATCATGTGACACCGCCTTCTTATATTCTAGGTGTTAGGCCCAGAGGTTGATACTCTTGGCCAGAGTAGAGACAAACACAGGAAGGGGTCAAAACAGCACGAGAGCCACCACGTGCTTGTGAAGAGCGGGAACACACCAAGCAAAAATGTGGCACACATATGACACATCCACAGACCAATACACATCAGTGCATGTGCACACACACATCAAACGACAAACCAAATGAGTGTGTCTATACTGCCCTAGCCTAACCGCTCTATAACTGGTCACAGTTACACAAGAGGGCGATTAATATGAACTCTATTTTGTCTCTGTATGCTAGGAATGAAGTGTAATAATGAACCCCCCAGGAGACGCAGACACTGATGGCTCACCATCTAATTGCACTGCTTTTTTCATCAACGCAGTACACGACCTCTTCCTGTATGAAACCCACGCGCCCCGTTCCCCGCCACCACCACCACACCAGAGATTGTCTTTTCCCATCTCCCTCTGTTTCCTGCTCCGCTTTCATCTCTCCCTGTCCATCTGTCTTCTTCTTTCCATTTTTCAGTCCCAATTTGTCTTCCTTCTTCCTCTTATCTTGCTTTTTTCCCTCGTCTATGTCTGTGTTTGTCTCCCCGCTGCTGCTCTGAACCCCCCCTCCCTTCTCTCACTGGTTCTGTGTTTAGTCGATGTGCCCCTGGTCAGTGGTGGCCTGGCTGGGAGACAACAGAAGTGACTTTGAGACTGGGGGATGACAGCCTTGTTGTCACTGACACACAGAGCTACTCAGATGAGCCTTCAACTGCATACTTACAGAGTAGACGGAGGGGAGAGAGAGGCAAACATGAAACAAGAAAATAATAATAAAGGAGGGAAACAACATTTGGCAACAAAATGCAGACATCTGCTATACGAATAGCATCACACTGGGTTTCACAGATCCCAATACCTATTTCAATAAATGGCTATGGGTGACCTCAAAAAGAAGATTCTCTGTAACGTGCAAATCACACACAGGCTGATTATAAAAATCACCCCTAGTAACCAGTAATTGTATGTACCTCTATTTTGCCTGTTGTGCCGTTTGGTTTGTTTGTGGTGCGTTCAGCTGCGTCAGGCTCAAGGCCTCCACTGCAATCAGTCTCCTCTCTCTCAGTGATGGAGACCAGAGGGGATCCATGGGATTGTTTCCCCTGAGCGCTCTTCCTGGCCTCTCTGTTACACAAAGATATAGTCATGCTCTATGTGGACATGGGTCATTTCATGATCATGACATACACACATCTCATGGTAACACATTTAGAAGTATTATACACCATATCATTTAGAAATGAGTCATGCATGTCCCTTTATATGCATCAAATGAAACCATAACAGCATTATACCGGAACTGCTGTGTTCGGTGATTAATACTTTTAAAAATCTCTTTCAGTGAGTTTAGTAATAGTAAACTGGGAACAAAGCAATCCTAACCTGCAATTGTTAATGCAAAAATGTTTAATAAAATAAACTGCACATATCATTAGATTTTTTCAAATGCTAACTGTATCATTCCTGCAGGGACAACTGAGGGCAGAGGTACAGTAGTAGATCATAAATAAAACTAATATGATGATGATAATATGTTTTTCTTCCCCAGGTATTGGCAGTTTTGTTGCTTTCCTTCCTCTGCATTGAGCTCAGAAAAGGGTTAGCTAAGGACAAGTAATACAATTCAGTTAAACGAGCAGAAGTACATGAAGAAAGAAAAGACTCATCTAGTTTAATTTCTAAGTTTTAGATGATTTAAGTGTACGCACAGCTCCAGGATCGGGCCAGCGCTGCTCTTGACACTGTAGGAGAGAAAAGGGCTGGCCACCTCAATGAACTGCTCTGGTTTGGACAAAGAAAGCTCTGTAAAAAGAGAAAAGAAAAAAAAGAGCTCTCACATCATGCCAGCATGCTTTTTCACACTCCTGACTACATTTTCGCTCCACTCAGAGATCAGCTGATGTCAGATATGCCCGAGCCAGCAGCTATTTTCATTACAGAAATATTGTAGCTATCCTCCTTCTTTTCTCATTTTAACATGTGCTGCAGAATGCCCTCTGTACTGCAGGTTCTAAATATTCTGCATTCGCATTCACTCTCCTTTCTAGTCATTTTTATTTATGACATTCACCTACGCTTTATCACACAATTTGTACTTTTCTATGTGTTAGTTAGATATCCTCCTCTGCATCCTCCTCCTGTTTTCCCCCTTCCAACCTTTTTCCAAACTTAATTTGAACATTTCTTAATTTCCTGCCTCTTTCTCTGTCTCTCTCTTACTCCGTGGTTCATCCGTGACATTGATCTCCTTCAGCGGGCGGATGAGTTTCCATTGTGGTACAGGTGGAGGTTTGGGTGGTGCCTCAAGCTGGCAAGCCCGGGTTCTGGTCAACAAGACGATGTGGCTGCACAGCAAGGAGAGACCGTACTGACGAAGGCACTCTGAGGAATTAGCCTGTGTGTCCGCACATAGACAAAAGCACAGATATAAATACACATGCAGTAACAACCAATCAACATGTGAAAAATGCAGTTTCAAAAGATACTCGGTAATATTAATAATTACTATCACCAGTAACCAACTCCACATGTTAATCACGTCAAACTGTTCAAAGGGGATTTTGACCCAAGATCAGAGAGTGGAGGTGATGCAACACCTCTCACAAAGGAAATCCTGTCCACCAATTAGCCTTAGCATGGGTATAAATAATAAAAGAAGTGAAGCCTGTTGAGGGGAAGCATCCAAATAGAACACACCATGCCCCCCGGTCACAAGCCCTGTTATGTTTCATCTCCACCGCCCACTTTTACTTTAGGGCTTCAGTACATTTTTCACATTACTGTGCTACATAACAGAGGTATGATGGCGTAATAGGGCCAATGCTAAAAAAGATATTACAGCGAGAGAGAGTTGGATCAACCTCACACACCACCCTGCTTGCCGTGCATTATGCCTGCAGTGGATGATCTAACCAAATTATACTTTGCAATCGGATTTAGCAATAAGGAATAACTTGTGATTTTAGCCCAGAAACACCTTAAGCTTCCGGAATTTGCAAACTCAATGCTGTGTAATAAGCCTATATAATGCATGCAATGGACAGCCATGTTCCATACTGCTGCACTTCCTCGCACACACATGCAGAGGTGACTTAGAAGTACTGAAATGTATCTTTATCTCTCAAATGTTGTGTAAAATCATTAACATGTGGGAGTTAATTAGATCAAATTTGGCCATTTAAAAATTGTCTTTATATTTACTTGTATCTATTATGTGAAAGATAAAAATGTCTTCACGTAAATGTGTCTCGTTTCAGTGTGACTGAAGTAAATACATCTGTATGAAATGATCAGGTGTATGCATAGCAGCGGAGAGCAGGGATAGAGAAAATACATACCATTTGTCCAAACCCAAAGGAATTATGATGTGGCTGTAAAGGGTAGTAGCTGGCACACACCACTACCTCAGGGGCACCTGAGAAAGTCACAAATAAACTGACATAAGTAAACCCCACATGCAAACTCACAGAACCACAAGTAAACACAGACAGTCCAATATGGATACACAATATATACACTCTGTGACTGACATTTTACACCTTGCAATGTATCAGTTCGCAGTGCAATTTACTACAACTTAAATGATGGATTGACTCGGATTAAATGCAACGATATAGTGAAACTAAGTGCCATCTAAAAGTAAACCTAATAAAGACGATAGAAAGTGTAATGTAATGTGTAGCCCTGGTGATCTGAAAGCACTATTGGCCTCCACAGGAATAAATAAGGCAACAAGAGAGTATGTAGGTTATCTATGGATGGCCCTGCTCCTATGGGGCATCTTAGAATATGAGGAGCACATGAGCCATGAAACATGGAAAATCAATTTGAAGGACCGTAGAGAAGAGAGCACGGCTGGACTAATATAAAGGCTGCGCATTAAGTATTGAACAGAGAAGTGCTTCTTATGCTGCATAGTGATTTATGCATTTCAATGTATGTACTTCAATGGAATACAACAGTGGGCACAAAAACAGTGAGACAGAGAGAGAACGTGTTTTGGTCTTTGCATGCATGTACAGTATATGAGGAGCACCTTTTTCTAGAGGAGAAATGTTTTTAAGTAATGAATGTTGTGAATACCTGTCATTGTGTTAGTAAGACTTTTATTCCTGTACATCAGCAGAATTAGAGGAACAGACTGCAGGTGAACAGGGCAGGTGGGTAAATACGAGGGCAAGAGAGGGAAGAGTGGAAAAGGACGTCCTGCTGTGGCCCAATCATGTTGATTTAAATACTTGAAATGTTTAGTTTTTCAGTACATATGATTCTTTAAATTAATTGTACAACCTAAATAAAGCATAAACTTTTTAGAATGCGTTTCCACTGCACTACTTCTTAATGTCTTTCATTTTGTGTTGAAAGGTGCTGTATAAATAAACTTGCCTTGCCTTGCCTAAACTGTATCCCTCTAAGTTAATGACCTGAAACATCTTTGTTTACTGAGGACATTCATCACATACCCACCTTTAACTTGGGAGGATCTTCTGCCCTGCGGGAACACCAAATAATTCACCCTGCCACTGCTCCCTCTGCTGGGTTATTTATAGTCCACCATACACATATTAACCCTCCCTGCGCTCCATAATACATGAGCTCTAGAAAACAGGAAGTGATGCTTGAAACAACAGGAAAGAGGTAGCAGAGCACTGGCTCAGAATTCAAGGTGTTTTGTAATATGTGTGAGAGCGACCTTCAGCCGGGAGTGTATTTCAAGTCTCACAGCAAAACATTAAACAAATATGAATGTTGCAAAGATATACCACGTATTTCTGGAATAATAGAATGGTATCATTGATAGGATTGAGTTCCTGTAGGACAATGAAATATTCATTGTCACGCTCCATAGCAGTTGAATTATGGATGCAGAGGGAGGAAAATAGAGATGTACACACACAGTGCATTTACAAACTGTACATATATACAAATACTGCATACAGTATAGCGCAGCACATATAGTAGACCATCGATATCATTTTTCAAACAGCCCACTGATGGAGTAATGAGCTGTATTTAAGTATTATGTGCATTCGAATGCTCTCAATCTAATGGATGATTGATTTAATTGACTCACTCAATTATTGTGGAAGCAGAGTGTGTAATAGAGATGTATGTTTCCGGGTCTGCATGTTTGCATAATTGCATGCCTGTCTGTGTTTGTGTGCTTTTGTGTGTGTGTGTGTGTGTGTGTGTGTGGTGTGTGTGTGTGTGTGTTTTTTGTGTGTGTGTGTGTGTGTGTGTGTGTGTGTGTGTGTGTGTGTGTGTGTGTGTGACTGTAGCACAGTTCAGTCCTTTACTTTTCTCCTGCTCTGCGGGATCATTCTTGCAGTCATTGAAGCTGGAATCTTTCCCTGCAGCTGAATCTGCAGTCTGAGGCTTCGTCCCCAGCAAACTCTCATCCGGTAATGTAAATATCGGAAGGGTTTTGTGTAAGAAATCCCAGGTTTTTCCCAGGTTTACGGACCTGAAAGGAGGTCAAATAAAATAGGATTAGGAAATAGGTGACAGTATTATAGTATTGGGTTGAAAACACCTGCATTTTTAAGATGGATTTGACTGTAATTTATTTTGCTTCCAATACAAAATGTTTTGAGCAAGCTCTCAACACTATGACTTCTGCATAACAGATGAAGTCTACCATTTCTTCACTGTCTTAGCACTGAGACTACTGCAGTTTCTGTTCCTGTTACTGTGTACATCCCCCTATTTGCAATACAATGAATGGGCTGCAGTTCTTACATCATTAAATCTCCCCGACATTCTTTAGAATTTAGCTTCTGCAGGCAAGGCAAGTTTATTTGTACAGCACATTTCATCTACAAAGGCAATACAAAATGCTTTACATAATGCTTTAAAAACTATTTTAAAGCATGAAGACCTTCAAATGCAAATCAAAACAGAGACCTAAATGAAACACAACCTCACTGACACAACCTAACATATTGTAGAAACCAGTGAAGAATGACATTGAAACAGGTTAGCCTCCTTACAATGCCAGATGTATGGGTCATCTCAGTACACTTGCTGAAAGCATGGTAAAGCACGTTAGTGTACCAGAATAAGTGAACACTATTGTTATTTGTGATAAGCAACTCAAAGGTATAGTATGAGCTCATGTTATTTTCTTTGAAGAACATCACTGTGGTGTTAGCTTAAAGGTTTACTTTATGGATTTTCAGCCTGATCCTGTCATTTTAATGTGAGTGTTACGTACTCCCCCCCTTTTTGTTGTCCTCTTTGTTCTCTCTGCTGTGCAGGTACACCTGGCTCCGCCTTCCCCAGGTGTTCCCAGTTGTCACTCAGCCGAGCTTGGCCCAGGTGTTCCCAGTTGCCAATCAGCCGAACATAAAAGAGGAGGCTGAAGGAGAAGGAGGGGCCGATCACTACTCCGGATGTCTCTGCTGTGTCAGAGCTCTTTTGCCTTTTTGTTGTGTTTCCTGGAGGACGTGTTAGGATTAGGTTTTTGCGGCTTTATTTCTCCCGTTAGGTCTGTTGGATTTTGGGTAGCGGAGGAAGGCTCTGGATCCTACGGCCCGTGGTGTGGTTGGTAGTGATGGCGAGATGAAGCCTTATGAAGCTTTGAAGCTTTCCAGCCAATTGGTTCGCAAAAGGGTTCATCTCATGAGGCTTCATCTGAACACAAACCCCCTGTTGGTCAAAGTGTGTAAAACAGGCAGATTGGACATCTCAACAGTGTGCTCTCTCATACCGAGTTCCCAATGAGTAAAGCCTTAGAATAACTCTAAACAACGAACATTAAATCATATTTTCATGTTAACAATATTGTATTTATTCCAGTTTAATGATTGTGATTGAAAAGCCTAAGGAGGCTGGTAAACATTGCAAAGAGGGATTTGTATTCCTTAATAATATTCGTAAACATAACGATGTTGTAGCCTGAGAAAGGCTAAACCATATCAAAGAATACATTATTAACTACATTATCTCATTTAGCTGTAGCTTTTATAAACAACAAAAAATACGTATTGTTCAGTCGTTGAACCAGGGACCCTGCGATCATGAGTCAACTGCTTTCCAGCTGAGCCACAGCACACACGCTAAAGTTCCCTGAAAACACTGCAACATATGTATTCCTGTATTTATTCATTTATTTATTCATGTTTTTATTCCTACATTTATTTATGCTTGTATCTATTTATACTTCTGACATGTTCCGACCTCAATATGAGTGAGGGTCTGAGCTCTCTTGATTCCATCGTGTCACCGGGCCCGGGTACAGGAAGGGTAACATCGTTCTTATTATACATCCATGCGTTGTGGTTCAACCGATCTGAATCGCTTCGTGAAGCAGTCACGTGGCATCGACAGGCAGCGAGGCTTCGTTTGTCATCGATGACGTCACTGGCCCAAAACGATACAAGCCTCGATACATGCTTCACAAAAAGCTTCGGGGATTACTCGACACACGCTCCGAAGCCTCGGCGCAATACGTAACATCACTAGTGGTTGGCCCAAGTCCCCTCCGTCTGTTTGTTTGTTTTACCTGTCCTCCAGTGGAATGATTAAGTATTGTGGCAATAAATGTACGATTACAGTTTAGTGCCTACGTGTTGTGTACTTTTGTTTTATGTTGCGGACTGCCTCACGAGCCACTACTATTGAGTAGGGAGGCGGGTCGTAACATATGGGGGCTCGTCCAAAGGCTGTCTCGGGCAGGTGCCGGTGTGGTGGTGAGTAGTATTACTTTGTAAAAGGCCCTTGACAGCATTTATTTGTTTGGTTGGCTGTATAGCGTAGAGTTGCAGTGATGGATTTCGACTTGGAGGGGTTTGTTGGTGATCCGACTCGGGGGAAGTTGGATGCATGTAGCAAACAGCAGCTTGGTCTGATCGCAGGCAAATTTGACGTGGTAGTCAATAAGCAGAACAAGAAACAAGTCATTAAGGGACAGCTGTTGGCTGCGCTTATAGATCAGGAGGTATTGTCGGAGGAGGAAGTAGACGTTCCCATAGACGACGAGACAGAGGTCTCTCAGAAAGTGAGCGACCTTCAACTTCAGCTAGAGCTGCGCAAGCTGATGGTTAGAGAGAAGGAGAGTGATAACAGACTGAGAGAGAAGGAGATCGCCTGTAATCTCGAATTGAGGAAATATGAGGCGGAGTTACGTTTGAGGGAGCTGGAGCTGACGTCTTACTAGACTCAGCAGTTGGGGTCTGCGCAACCTCATGATTTTGACGTAGGCAAGTATACTCGGTTTATCCCAGTATTTAACGAAAAAGACGTTGATAGCTATTTTGTCCTGTTTGAGCGTGTAGCAACAACGTTTAAATGGCCTCGGAACATGTGGACCGTTATGCTGCAGTGCGTTCTCGCGGGTAAAGCGCAGGAGGTGTATACTGCGTTATCTGAGGAGGTTAGCCGGGATTATGAACAGGTGAAAGCTGCAATTCTGCGCGCTTATGAGCTGGTGCCTGAGGCATACCGTCAAAAGTTTCGTGGTTTGAAAAGACAAGATTGTCAAAAGTATGTGGAATTCGCCCGTGAGAAAGAGGTTCTGTTTGAGCGATGGTGCTCATCGACGGGGACAAAATCTCTAGAGGACCTAAAAACATTAGTGCTCATGGAAGAATTTAAAAACTGTTTGCCTTACACAGTAGCCACATACCTCAATGAGCAAAAACCGGTGAAACTGTTTGATGCTGCGGTTTTGGCTGATGAATATGTGCTTACTCACAAGACTGTCTACAGTGAGAGGACTAGGGCACAGGCCGGGTTTGTGGACAATAATATCAGAGAAACCCCAGTGTTCACTAAAGTGTCATGGCAGTCCAGCAGGCCAAGAGTTGCTGAGGAAAAACCGGGAGAGGTGAATTGGGGATCTACGGATAGGCCAGTGTGTCATTACTGCAAGAAAAGAGGTCATATTGTTGCGAATTGTTATGCTTTGCGGGATGAGGAGAAGCCTGTAAAGACGGTCGCTTTGGTGAGTACTTCAAAGCCAGGGTCTCTCAAATCTGAACTGGAAGTTTTTGCTCCGTTTCTCATGGAGGGAATGGTGTCTTTACCGGGGAAGAACAACAGGGTTCCGGTAACCATTTTGAGGGATACAGCAGCGTCACAATCCTTTATGGTGAGGGGTGTGTTGCCCCTCTCTGAGGAGTCTGCTGTGGGTTCAGGTGTTCTTGTGAGGGGGTTTGGTATGCAGTGTGTGGGTTCGCCATTGCATAATATTCATCTTGAGTCAGATCTGGTCACAGGTCCGGTAACTGTCGGGGTTCGGCCATGTCTTCCCATTGAAGGGGTAGATTTGGTCTTGGGGAATGATTTAGCCGGTGGCAGAGTGCTCGTTAAGCCGGGAGTGGCAGTCACCCGCGACAGTTTTACGGCTACGGGATTGGACAGACCGGTCAGGGATCCTCCATCATGGCGTGAGGGTGGGAAATCAGGTACGATAAGCCCTGGGGCTGTTCATAACCCTGTCGCTGCCTGTGTGGAGGCGCTGTCCAGTGCTAAAAGTGACACCCCTGTCACCTCGGAGGCCCCGATCGCTGCGGAGACTCTGGCCAATATGGAGTCTCATTTGGCACACTTGCCTGATGCGCAGCGTGCAGATGTATGGGAGCTGATCGTGAGGTGGAGCGCCCTGTGTCGTACCGCTCCGGGAAATTCAATCCCCACCAGCGGGTGTGTTCCACCATTGGTTCCACAGTCGAAAAGGAGGCACTGGCTATGGTTCTGGCTTTGAACCATTTTGAGGTATACGTGGGGTCATCAAACATTCCTGTCACTATTTTCACCGATCACAACCCCCTTGTGTTTCTGCAGAGAATGCGTAACACAAATCAAAGGTTGATGCGGTGGAGTATTTTCATGCAAGCCTTCAATGTTGAGGTCAAACACATTCGTGGCAAGGATAATGTGTTGGCTGATGCATTGTCGCGCTTATAATATAGCAGTTATTGTGTGTTGTTAACCTGTCTGGTGTGTGGAATGAGTGGTGGTGAGCATGTCTGTCAACTAAGGTTGATTGTTGTGATTGTTTTGTTTAAAAAAAAAAAAAAAAATTTAAATCACTAACGCATGGTGGGGGTATTACGTACTCCCCCCCCTTTTTGTTGTCCTCTTTGTTCTCTCTGCTGTGCAGGTACACCTGGCTCCGCCTTCCCCAGGTGTTCCCAGTTGTCACTCAGCCGAGCTTGGCCCAGGTGTTCCCAGTTGCCAACCAGCCGAACATAAAAGAGGAGACTGAAGGAGAAGGAGGGGCCGATCACTACTCCGGATGTCTCTGCTGTGTCAGAGCTCTTTTGCCTTTTTGTTGTGTTTCCTGGAGGACGTGTTAGGATTAGGTTTTTGCGGCTTTATTTCTCCCGTTAGGTCTGTTGGATTTTGGGTAGCGGAGGAAGGCTCTGGATCCTACGGCCCGTGGTGTGGTTGGCCCAAGTCCCCTCCGTCTGTTTGTTTGTTTTACCTGTCCTCCAGTGGAATGATTAAGTATTGTGGCAATAAATGTACGATTACAGTTTAGTGCCTACGTGTTGTGTACTTTTGTTTTATGTTGCGGACTGCCTCACGAGCCACTACTATTGAGTAGGGAGGCGGGTCGTAACTGTGAGGAGGACATCTACTCTTTGTTTGAACTGCAGCCTGCATTTCTTTTTGAATACTGAATGTATTTCCATAAGAGGGCATAGACATATTGTTGGTCAAATAGTTCCTCCATCTTGTTAGCTCAGCAGTTGTGGAAGGTAGAGACAGTCCAGTGGTTGAAAATGATGCACCAAAAAACGAGTACAGTTTTCTAGGTTACAAAAACATCTCCTCTGTGCTAATTGTTAGCATTAACCAGAATAATGAAAATCACAATTCTTCTTATGCCAAACAGCTGCCATTATATCATGCTAGTAGTACACAAGCAAAACACTCAACACCGACCATTAATATTTTACAGAGCAGAAATTGGAATTTTGTGACCACAATATAGGTATAATTGCACTTTTGTCAATTTAAATGGTAGCAGATGTTGTAAATAGAATTGTATGTACAGTATGTGTGTGATGTGTGGGGGTGGGGTGTTGGGGGTGTGGGAGAGAGTGTGTGTGTGTGCGCATATGGGACTGCAGACCCACGTGTCACGAATCAATCCGTAACACAAACATGTACAGCCCCTGAACGTGTTGATGGATTCCCCAGACACACACTAACAGCAGCTAGCCTGCTGAGCTACAGAGAATAACTCCACCCAGCTCCACTCCTAAACACTGTTGCCCCATTGAAGTTCCATCACTGACAAGCTGGGATTCTCCACTGCTCTCCTCCTCCTTTATTATAAATCTGCTTGTGTCTCAGTAGTTTCTCCCAAAGTGTGACTTTCCATACCACTGTAGACAGATAGACATTTTTCTTTCTTTGCTACAGTAGATTCTATAAAATGGTATATTTGACAGGAATAATTCACTGCTTGTCTGTGTGATTGCCACAGCCTTTGTTTTTATAAACTATCAGATATTAGATAGTCCCACTTTGGTGGGATAGCAGCAAAGAAAGATGATCAACGGCATTAACATAGGCACATTTATGTAAGTCACTTATCTATGGATTTAGGAAGTGATGCAGAAGACAGAGGTACAAGAATGGATCAGACCAATCAGGACCTTACCTTAAAGGACGGATTTCTGGGATCCAGCCAGTGAGGGTTTGGATAAAGCTGAACTCACCCATCTCCCTGCTGGCCTCTGACGTTACACTGGGAATCAAATACACACAAAACTGTAGAAAAAGACAAACTAGAGACTTCCTATAGTGGCATTGAAACAGTTCTAAAATGAAACCTTTGATGTTATGGTTTCAATGTGAAATCACAAACATGTTTCCCACTAAATTGCGTTAACTACTGACAATGAAACAAAACTTATTAGCACTTCCTCTTGTTTTACGTCTTGATTTTAGCATCATTTTTAGTACTGACACCAGAGAAGAAAACAAGGTAACATTTTAAACAAGATGTTTGTGACAATAATCCATAACAAAGAATGCCAAAACAATAAGATGTTAATAATTGATTAACACCATTTTACCATTTAAGGTTCAAAGCTCATATAGGTCAACAACTAAAAAGTGTTTGGTGTTATCATAACCAGCCTGGACTTTTTCTGCCGTCTGTTTGACTGACTGTCAAAGGGACAGGCTGATCTTATATTGTTCATTTTGAAATGTGTCGTATGTGTAACGCAATTATAATTGAAGTCGATTTAACCAATTTTCTGGTGTGTGTGAGTGTGTATTCTCAGTTGAAACAGATGCCTGCAGCAGCTCTAATAGGCCCTCTTGGGATCCTGTGGCTAACCTGTCCAGTCCACAGTCATGATACCAGAGAAAGTTAAATCAATACAACTAGATGAGTAATGCCAAAGCCCATAACCACGTCAAAAAAAATCTTAAAAAGCTGCTCCACACAAAAGTGATGGAGCCTTTAAACTAATCTTTTTGTTAAAAAAAAAGACTACATCCTTTCATATGAGCCCCAGCAGACACCTGGGCAAAGTTTGGGACTATTTCAGTACGAAGAACTTTCACTATGGTTCATAAATAATTCGCAAGGAAAAAGACTCCTTTGTTTCCTGTCTTGGATAAAACATTTATGTCTCGACCTTTTGTGAACACTGGAACAGCCACCTTTACACACGCCATGCTGCCCCATCACAGACACACATAACGCCTGTCTGTCACCGAACTCAAGACAGCCCCAAGGCAGAGAGTAGGTCACATGAAGGTTTGGTGGCAACTCAGCAAAACACACTTTAAGGGGTTCTAGTGCAAGTGTACGAGCTTTAAGTAGTTTAGTTTACTTCATCAGGTGTTAACATGTCAGCTTTCTTTAAAAGTCCCCAATAGTTCAGCATGAAACAGTAGGTATCTTTTACACTGTGATCTTGAATACTTTTTGAATCTGATTTGATCTGGCAGGGTCAAAATGTTAAAAATAATAATTTAAAAAAAAATCACAGTAAGTTTAAAATCCTACCTTCATTTTGTTCATTGCAAATTACTCTAATGCAATTGGGTAATGGTACCATCCTTAACACTGCTTTACTTAGTTAGGTTAGTGTAAAGTGTAAATAGTATAATGGGTAAATATGCATAGTGCATTTTTAAGGTGGTCTAATTTGAGTTAGGGTGCATAGTTTGAATACACTTGGAATAAGCAGGAGTCTGTTCCTCAGCCCTCTTACTTTAAGACTATTAGAAGTGTTTCTCAACTCCTTGAGGCAATACTGAGATGCTTATGTAGTTTCTGCTGGAATGTACGGTAACTCACTTTGTGTTGGCCACCTTAATGAGAGCCTTAGCCAACAACATTGGCCACAGCTCTGACTGACAGGTGGAGGCTGGGAGAAGCAAGTTGTTTTCTTCATCAAATGGCATTGAATCATCTACTGTTATCTTCCTCCAACAACCCTGAAAACAAGGAAAGAACAAACAGTGAGTGAGGACGTGTAATCAAAGCAAATTAACTAAATAATTCAACATTTGATTTGTTTTAAGTTCCTTAGAGTGGCACAATTAGATGCTCCATGATTACTGGGAATCGATACACAAGGTTTTGCAAAAGATACTGAGTTATGAGGTTCCTATGGACTACATGGTACTCTATCTGGGCAATTTTACAGAGGGAAATGTTCACTACATAGATAGATATCTTGTAAAAATACTGTTGATAGCTGGCAAGAAAGCCATAACTAGGAAATGGTACAAGGTGGAGCCTCCTACTGTGGAGCAGTGGATGGAGATCGTGGAGGAGATTCATATAATGGAAAAAACGACATATCGACTGAGACTACAAGAAACACAATATGAAGAGAAATGGGAGAAATGGTCAATGTTTAAGACACAAACAAGCGACAAGGAATATGGACTGATTGAATAAGAAGAACTGTTCTGACAAATGAGAATGTGACTCCCGACTGCATTTTTATTTTTTATTTTATATTATCTCTGTATTTGTATCTATAGCTGTGTTGCATTGTTTATTTTTGTTTTGGTTGTTATGTACGTGCACAGCTGTTGTTGTAATGCTTTTATGTAATAAAAACTAAGTGGAAAAAAAAACAACTCCATAATTACACACAAAATAATCAGCTTAAAAGAGGCATCATCTCACAATATATCTGTAAAGCTGATCGAATTGCGCTTTTTGCACTGATATTTGAGCTGCTGTATGTTCACATTTGGAAATGAGAGCTTCTGCGACCAGAATGGAGCAATGCCTTCAGGGCTATACTGAAATGGCACTGACATCGGCTGATTAGTTATCAGCTGTTAAATCATATGCTCATTGATGCCTCATCTTGCTGATCATCAGCTGACTAGTAACATCCAATAAAATGTGCATCAGTGTGTTAGGCAGCTTTCATAACCTTACAAATCTCACTTTGATTCTGCTGATACCTTCATGACAACACAGGCAGCACCATCAACCACTGATCTAATGCTCTGGTACATTAACAGGTTTCAATTAATCTGTACTGAAGTGTTTTATATTAATTGTTCAAATTAACTTAATAACAATTTACAGTGAATTCCTTGACCGTAAATCTTTCTGACTGAAAAAATTGTTCATGCTAGGGAAAGATTGCCTAACTCGTTTAAACAGTCAGTACATTGTGGTTAGGAAAACAACTGCATTTAAAGGAAATAAGAGGAACTGATGGGATTGGCCTAGAGACTGTGATACCAGCCCCTGACATATTCACTGCCGAGGATATTCTTGGATTCCTCCTCCATTTCTAAATGTGCCACAGGTGTCACTCAGATCACATTTTTCCTCAAAGCGCAATGGGTAACTCGTGACCTCAAAATCTCTGATCCGAGGACATTTCCACACCTCTCCTAGCGTCAGCTACCTTGCATCCTGTTTGGTGTCAAGGATTATTACATGCTGCCTGTGGTGTGGTCTGTTTACTGGCCGTCTGGGGGAGTTTCACACTGCTTGTAAGAAAAAAGCAGGTCATAATCTGACTGACTGATCACAGCTGTGCCTCTCCTTACAAACCAGTGTGCCCTAACATAACTGTATACAGAGTGGGCGAGCAGACTTTATTTCTTGCTTGTTCTTCCACTTTCTTGTCAAACCATCGCCCTGAGGAAGAGCTGGATGTGTTCGGAGACGGGGTGGAATGCAGTGTGAAAGGGCAAGTAAGAGGAGAGAGGAAGAAGAGGCGGAAAGGAGAGACGGAGCTGAGGGACTGAACAAAAATGGGAATGGAATGGGTATTCACGGCGGCATTAAGGAGAAAAAAAGACTGGTGTGAATTGGAACAATAAGGAATCATATGAGCAGTAGATAAGAGAGTAGCCTATGAGTAATAACATGGGAGGAAGCAGGAAGGATGAATGGGGGCTGGGTGCTTAATGCTATCTCAACAACCATCTGTTAGCGTGCTATGGTTGGCACAGGGACTGCTGCCTACAACCGTGTCATGCTTGTTTGTCAAGGCAAGAGTCACAGTGCTACAGAACACCATCAATTTGAGCTCTCTCTTCTTTTTTCACTTCCTCGCTGACCCAAATTGTTGTGCTGGAAGAAGTTTCCTTTCTGAAATGACACAATGATTTAGTGTCCACTACTTACAGATCTGTGGCAAGCAACACACATACTGAAACAACCAGACCAACAATATCAAGATGTATCCCAATGCAATGATGGTCTTTGATCAAAAGGGAAACACCAGAAACATCTTAACATAAAATCTATTTGAATGACATAAAGCCCTATATGGTTGTGCCTGCTCTCATGATCTTACTTGGCGTGGATACTCAACATGCCTTAACTACTCGTCAGGCAATATGAAGCCCGTCCACTTTTGGCACAGTAGTGAGACTGATTGATCTGAGCTCTGAGTGGATAAGGCTTTCTCATCCCCCCCCCCCCCCCTCCAACCCTTAGTCCATCCCCATTCCTCTTTCATGGGGCCTGCTAAACAATACAATGCAATCTGCATGTCAGAAATGTAGTGGTCTTAAAAACTACATTTTAAATAGACTAAGAGTAGGTGGATGTGTGTGTGTGTGTGTGTGGTGTGGTGTGTGTGTGTGTGTGTGTGTGTGTGTGTGTGTGTGTGTGTGTGTGTGTGTGTGTGTGTGTGTGTGTGTGTGTGTGTGTGTGTGTGTGTGTGTGTGTGTGTGTGTGTCAGGCTCACCATCCAGTAGAGTCTGACCAGGTATTTTCCATAGATGTTGTAGAGTGGCACATGACCTCTGCCCACCTTACACAGTGAGTAGATGTGATCCCAAGGTCTCCAAATATCTTGTGTTGTATCTGAATTGTTATGCAGCGTCCAAACAATATATATCTCACTGATGATCCACCTCATCAGCTAAGAGTAGAGTAGAGAAGGAAGAGAAACATTATCATGAGTTAACCGACTATTAACCTTTAAATCTCTTTCAATATCATTCACAAAATCAATAGGGCATTGCATTACCCAAGTGTAATTCACTCTGTCATTCAAACGTCACCCTGTCTGACATCTGAATTACACTATTCAAGTGCTGATCAATACTGGTTACTGAAAAGTCAGTGCAATGCTTTATAGAAAAGAAGAAATAACAATTGAAAACAAACCTCACTGCAAATCAGATGATCATTTGGGGAGATCAGTTCAAAGGTCATTGGATTCTCAACAACTGTGATACCCTAAAATAGAAGATTGCAATATATAATATAACAATTAAATAAAGAAGACTTTCACAGCCAGATGACGGACGGAAAAGCTTTATGCACTCAGAATATTTTACAGTGTGTGGTTGTATTTCTACACATCATAACTAGTCATTATAATACACACATTGGCCATCTTGCGTCATCTGTTTATAATTGACATGAATATGTAACCCACTTAACAATTCTCTCCTCCTCAAAAAGGTCCTCAACTGGTCTAACCTCACCACGATACTCCCAAGACTGTGTCTGCAATGAATATTTCAATATGAAGTTAATATATTCTACCATCTTACTAATTAAAACTGATTAAATGGGTCAGATGGTGGGGAGAGAGATCAGCTGAAGGTCAATTAAGGTTGTGTTCTCTCGAGATGTCACAGTAACTCTAAGTGGGAACCAAACTTGAAAAATATTTCCGTCAATAACACAGCTCTGTAAATAAGGACTGGTATAGACTAATCAAGAGAGTTTGACAGAAGAGCCTCGCCTGCATCTGCACAGCTGATTGCTTTTGTGTTTATATTGTATGAAATGAATAAAATGCTTTCGGCCTCTTGAGTGGAAAGGCAGCTTTTGACCTGGCAAGGACTAAATGTAAAAGCAGGACATTTGCAAAAATAGCTTAATACTGCACTGAGAGAGGGGGAACAGAAAATTCGAGTGGTTAAATTAAAACTATATTGGAGGTGACTACAGAGAAGATATCCTTAACTACATTTCACATTAGGTGGCAAATAAATACACTTTGCCAATACAGCTAATGGCTGCAACAAACAGCTACTTAGAGTAATTCCCCTGACATGCTTTATTAGAAAACTAATACTTTCTGCAAGTATATGTAGTCTATTTGTCATTGTTATCTACAAAAAGGGGGACATAAATGACAAGTGACTTTAAAACTGGTTATTTTTTATACATATACTGTACATTTAATTTCCAGTGATATCAGAATCATTTTCTAACAGGGCTATTCAATTGGCGGCCCGTGGGCCAAATCCGGCCCCGGGGTGATATTTACTGCCCCTTTGAGTATAATGTTAAAAAGTAATCACATTTTGATTTAATTTTTTTCAAGATTTTTTTCTTTTGGCCAGAGTGCCTTTATTCCAGAGAGGGTGTTAACTTGAGAGATAGACGGGAAGACATTGCCTGAAAACTTCGGCGGGCTTGGGTTTCGAACCCACCTACTAGCTACTGTAGTGACAACTCCTGTCATTTATTGCATCTCTGCGTGAATGATTAGATAATTTCACCTAAATGAAATCACATGAAATGATGTTGATGGTTAAATTAGCTTCACATGTAGGTCTACTGAGTTCTGAACTTGCCATTTAGATCTATAAAGGCCTTGGGGCTATGTTGTTTGATCCTTGCTTTGGATCATTTTCATCAACCGGCCCCCATTCCAAACTAATTGAATAGCCCTGGTGTATACCTTCATGACCAATGTGCTTTCTCCTGTTTATTATTGTTTCCTATTTGAACCACTAGATTCGATATACTAAAACAGACCTTCTAAGCGTATGTTTATCATTATACAGTGCAATAGAATACCTGTCATAGTTTTGGACAGGTACTACACATGATGTTACCTTGACAATAAACTCTGTAGGACGTTTCCAGGAGTGCACTCTCACAGATGGAGGCAGGGATATTTTTCCCTCAGGATCTTCAAATAATGGCTAAAAAAAAAGCAAAAAAAGTTAATTTGATACGGAAACACAACAAAAACAAAGAATAAAGATATATTTAGTTGTATAGTGAAATAAAACACTTTTTTGATAGTACACTGAACAGTACACCAATATATCAATATACAAAGCAACAATTGTATACTCCAGATTTACAGCATGAGGACTCTTGTTCGAGTTTCCATCAGCTCCTTTACTTGAGTCCCATTTCTCCAGGTTGACTTCTGAGTCATTCCACTCAGGCCAAATGGGAAACCTGCATCTCCAAACACCTCCAAGGCTCTCAGAGGAAGTTGCTCCTACGGACGATGCTCTGAAATAATGACACATAACTATTAATTAAATGTGTTAGCTTGTATTTTTCTTTTTGTCAATATTTAGCAACAAAATTAGCCAGTACTGTACCAGACATTCAGTCCAGTACAACCCTGTTTTTGTCATGCCATATGTGATGTAGTGACATCTCTTCTAAAGTGATTACTTCAGGTTTTGACGTACAGAAACACATTGGCTCAAAGTAACAAACTACATATACTCAAGTACTGAACTTAGGGACCATTTTAGGTAATTTAGGTACTTGTACTTTTGTTGAGTATTTCAATTGTTAGCTTCTTTGTACTTCAGTAAATCATGTACTTTTACACTACATGTATTTAATATCTTTAGTTACTTTGCAGATTTGGATTATTGATGTGAAATAAAATCAACACACATAAGACTTTTGTTACACCTTTAGTAACATTCACAAGCTACCCTGCAGTAAATAAAGTAAGTGACTTTGGTGCACCTTTACCAGCTTTGATAACACTCTATGCATCAATAATTATAATCAAAACATATACTGTTTATTATTCTAAATTTAAAGCTAATACTTTCGTATTTTTATTTGAGTAACATTTGGAATTCAGGACTTTTACTTGAAACGAGTATTCCTACACTGTACTTTTACTTAAGCACAGGAAGTACTTCTCCCACCTGTGCGGAAACAGATAGATAGTACATATTTGTGAACCATTCATAAAACCATAAATTCAGCCACAGTTAATAAAGTATGGTGTCTCGATTAGTACATACTGAATGCTAACGTTAGCTTAGTTGTTTGCTGATATGCTGCTAACGCTAATGTTAATGCTAACAACAGCTGGTCTTAATTAACGCCCGATTGCTAACATTATCCGAACTCACTCAGTCTGTCGTTCGGATAAAGAGACTTTACTGGAGGTCTCCTTTTTCTTGAGCGATGCCTTAGACATTGCCCCTGGTAAAATAAACCTTCAAGCAAATGTACAAATAATCAAAAAGTCAGGTAGCTTCGGGGGTACATTTGTTTGGTTATGTCTCTGCTCTTCAAAGTTTCTCGTTGCTCAGCAACGGAGCCTTAAGGTGGGCGGGGTCTGCAGCTGTTGCATCACTTGTTACTATAGTGAGGGATAGGCAGATTTTCCATAACAACTAATCTATTTACAAAGCAGCAAAGAAACCTAATCAATTAAAAAGCTGACAAAATAAAACAATAGATTGAAACTGAAACCATCCAGAATATCGCCTCAGTTAACTTGACTCAGTAGCCTTCCTCGAACCATCTTGATGAAAGTGTAACATTAAAAGCGTCACAAAGGTTGCATCTTCATGAATATCATGGCATTGAATATAATTGTTTTGCCTTAAATTAACAGATCATAGTGTTAAACCACACAATTGCACCTCCTATCAGTAACATACATTCATAGATTAAAACCAATACATCTGTATTATGTCAAGGTTTTAACTTTTTCTATGAAATGTTGTATTAATTTCATGCAGATTGAAGTATTGGCATTTAATGAGAGTTTCTGTAATGTAATACACCACAATACTGGTACACCTCCACTGCATTCCTGCTTCACAAACAGTTGTGTGTGTGGATGAGAGAGTACAAGCCATAGTGGTGAAGACATTGTCTGATGACTATCACACACTGTTTAAGTGAAATCACATGGTCCTGTCTCCCTCTCTCTCAGTCACACACAGACATGTGCAGAGTCAGAGTCATACATACATCTCACAAATACAACTTCATCTGTTGCACTGTGTGTCTTCAAGGATAACTTAAAACCATGTTGTACGCATACACATGTTGTGATCTTCTTTTTCACATGCACAACTCTATAAATTGTGGCCATTAATGCTTACAGTACAATGCTGGATGATATAACATCTAGACTTGTGAGTCTTATTCTAGCCATTGACTTGACCATTTGCTATTAATCTGTGCTTTTCATTAGGTTACCAACACTTAGGCCTGCTTTCAAAGATCAAATGATGTTGCCATCTCACTCTGAAGAGTTGCAGAATTTCTACTCGATCATGGTTTATATATCTGCCACACCACACTAAGCCACACATGGTGCAACTTATTTATTCATTTTCGTTCACAGAAGATTATATGATTAAATGTACACTATATTATTTGGTGAATGTTGAGCAAGAGCAAAACTGCCCTAGTTTCTTGTACATGGACAAAAATAAAAGAATACAGTGGATGAACTCATTTAAATATATTACACAAATAGATGTGAACAGACTAATCACCGGTAGACAACAACAATATTTTAAAATGTTTATTCTATTTTGGTCTTGTATATTTAAAGTATTTTTACATACACACTTTATCTCAACACAGTGTTTAAAAAGTCTTTCAGGTTTTAAATCTGAACACTTTAATGTACCAGAAAGTGTGACAGTTGCATGACCCAACAATAAAAAGAAAAAAACATGCTGTAAATCTAAATGTTTATGCTGGTGAAAAGACCGTGTCTCATATAGTACCACAATTAGATTATACTATATTGTCTTTGTAAAAGTTTGAGTAAACAACAAAGTGTTCTGCTCTAATTTTTTTTTTTTTACAGAAATTATTAAATCAAGCCAACAATTAATTCAATATGAGATACAATAACTCTTTGATAATGCTTAACCGTGAATTTTGTCTGCTTTCTTTTTCCTACAGTAGTAGAAGAACTGGAAACACAAACATATGTGTGCCATGAGCACAAAAGGGACTTGTCTCACAGAAAAATATTGAATGACAAGGATACTGACAGTGAAAAACCAAAGAGACAAAAATCGAGAGGCTACAGGTGGTTTTCTAGTTCGTTTTTTGTGAGTTTTGCTTAGTTTGATCCCCTTTCAAGCACGGTATAGTCCAGGGCTTCAGAGGCTATCAGGGCAACTGGAGGAGTAGCAGGGTCCAAGTGTGGAGGGCTGGGTAGGATTTAAAGTTGGTGGTGGAATAAACCATTGGGGAAATATGCAGTGAGATAAACACAATAATAAAGAAGGGGTGGTTCAGAAGTGTCAACAAAGAAGGAAACAGCCCTACAGAGACAGTGACAAGATTAAGATAAAATTGGGCTTCTATTCTGGCCTAGTGAAAACAACTATGGATGTGCAGGGCAAACGGGCATCAGTGCAGAGAGGAGAAGATCCTGGAGCTTTGGAGACCCAAGAATTGATATTCCTCAGAGAGGCTGCAGTAGAGGGCTGAGAGTCACAGGCCGGGTGCCGGGTCAGACCCTGCCAAAGGAGGCGGATGGCTAATATGAATGGATTTAGTGTCAGCAGCAGCCTGACTTGCTCTCAGCAGCCACAGTCTCCTGGTCCAGTTTGATCCGGTCTCCATTGCTCTCCTCGTATGGCAAACCTTTGTCATTAGCCAAGATATTCTCAACCAGGAAACGTGCTGCCTCGTCCACGTTGATGTTGTCCTAGAAAAAGGTAAAAACAGAATATCAGAGTTGTTGTACAAAGATCCATCTGCACAGTGACAATCAGACCCTGGTGCATGTCTTTGCTTGCATCTTTAAATATTTGTTTTGGAAGTCAACTCAACCCCTCTCCATGAAACAGCCTGTTAAAGCAACAGTTTGGAGACGGGGACTATTACCAGAGATCTGAGGCTGACAGGGACGAGTTACAAACAGCCATTTACTTGTGTCCTTCACACTGTGGCCAAAAGCTGTCATCCCATGGGTTGAAGAGTTCATGAATATTAATGGCCTTTCTCCAGGCTCTGTAGCAACACAAATGTTTACAAAGAGGCCTGGTCATCTTGGGTAAAGGCGAACAGAGTTTTTTTTAGAGATTACGTTTGCAATGAAAATCTAATTCCTTTTTGTTCATTTCATTTCATTTCAAACCTTTATTTAACCAGGTGGTCCCATTGAGATCATCGATCTCTTTTTCAAGGGAGACCTGCAGCAAGTAGGTTACAACATGAAACAGAAAACAATAAAGGACATCCTACATCATATTTAAAGGTTACATTTACATACCGATCGGCATTGTTGTACAAAACAATAACATATCTGACAAGGAGAAATGTGGTATATATTATTTGTCCAAATGTACTCTTAAAATATGTTGTAGTGTTTAATGAATTGGAAGTGCGCACAATCACATGATTGTGTCTAGTTAATGTTTAAGTAATGTTTTTATGATTGTTCAATGAGTAGAGGGCGTGCTCCAATCAGAACAAGAGGCACCTCACAATTAGAGGGACTAAGTTGCTGATTAGGACCAGAGGAAATTAACAGCCTCTCAGCATTTGACAACCTTTTAAAAACTGGTGATGACTTTTCATGTGTTTTGCTTCTTAAACTGAAACAAAGTTTGGTACTCATTGAGAGAATTATAAACAGAGTTTGTTGTATGTCTAGTTGATAGCCAACGTGACAGGCATACAAAAGAACAACACTTCATTGCACTCACAGAAAAGCTTTGCACTGATCACACACACCAACACACTTCACATGACACAGCACGTGACATGGCTGCACATCCTAAGGTTATCTGGAATGAGTTAACTAAGTTTACCCGGGCTGCCAAAACTAATCAAAGCATTCCTCTTTACCATACCACGTCTCCCAAAGCAGAATTAAAAATGACACAAATGTAATGGGAAACATGGGAGGGGGCTTTCTCAGGACTCTCATTGTTAAGAAAATGATCAATTGGCTGGCTGTGATTTTAGCCCTTGTCAGAAACAACTGCATCTTTCATAGGACGTCATTTATAAATGAACATGACACGGCACACCCAGAGTGCTGGCAGCCTTTTGTTCATGTCAGCCTCGTGCTCTCACTCAGTTACCTGCTGAGCAGTCTTGTATTATAGCATAGAGTTTGCACCTCAGAGAAAACAAGACTTACAGCTGTGGAAGGTAGGTCAGTAGATTTACTCAAGTATTGTGCACTGTTTTTGGTACTTTTCCCTACATCATGGAATGGAAATATTGTACCTTGCACTCTATATCATTTGTTTAAAAAGGTGCAGTTACTACTTACTTAACCACCAGATAAAAGATTACAAATGAAAACTACCCAACAGTATATTAAAGAACTGCTTTACACAAATTATAATCCTACAATGCAAATATTCTCCCTGATGATTTTGTTGCAAATAGTCGTTTACTTTTCTTAGGTAAAATGTTGCATGCAGGGCCTTAACACTACTACTCTACTCAAAATGATCTCTCTTGACCAAATACTAGTCACAAAAAGACAGAGTTACAAAAATATAATGTAAACACATGGACACAGTAACATTAAAACTGTAATATCATGACCGAAGTTGAGGAGAAACACAACCTAACATTATCTGTCAGGGATCACTCAAAGCTCTGGGCTGCAACATCAATCAACATCATGCGATACCAGCTGTCCAACAAATCTTTTCCCTGGTTGGAAAGATAAATGTCTAAAGCGCATGACTGGCAGCAGAACAACAATTTATACCATTTGCCATTATATATATAGGGTTGCAAAATTCCGGGAATTTTCAAAGATGGAAACTTTCCATGGGAAGTAACGAGAATTTATGGGAATACACTGGGACATTTCTAAATTGAAGGTTGGCTCTTCATAGGGAACTTAAATATAGTTGGGGAAAGTATATTTTAGCATAATCTTGACTAAAACAAACAGATGACATTCAAGACCACACCCCCTACAGCAGAGGTGCCCAGTACGTCGACCGCGGGCGACCGGTCGACCGCGGGGGCAATGCTGGTAGATCGCGAGTCATTCATAAAAAAAAAAATCCTGTTCCGTTAAAATAGACTAAACAGGTTTTGATCCCTCCTCCCTTGGCCCCCCTGACACTTAATTCAGGAGTTTACTTGATTGACAGAAAAAGCGACCTATCGCTTTCCAGTCTGTTAACCCAGAATGCAAAGCGATACAAAATCAGTCAAGTGCCGGGAAAACTCAAATTAAGTTAAAGAGACAAACAAGAGAAACAACTAAATGAGTGCGGGACCGAGCAAGAAGCTAAAGACATACCACTTCCACCCAGAATGGGAGAAAGAATATTTTTTTGTGATGTCACATTCAAAGGTTATTTGCCTTATTTGTAAAGCAAGCGTCGCTCTGCCAAAGAAAGGTAACGTGGAGAGGCATTATCGGAGTGTTCACAAGGCATATGACAGCGACTTCCCTCCGAGTAGCGAGTTGAGAAAGGTCATGAATTATTGCTACACAAATATTATCTCGCAGTCTTAGTGTCGCCAACTCGTTTCTAACATGCAAAAAGACAAACAAATGTCGGTGTATTTTCGACCTTTCCGATCCAGACGAGATCTCTCCCCCGTCTGTGTGCGAGGGGGCGGGGCAGTTTACACACACGCAGCTGCTCCATGCAGCAACACATGGTGGGGATGGCGGAGAGAAGCGCTCCAAGGTGTGGTTAAATGTTACCCGTCTTGAGGCGGACAATGCTCCTTGCCAAGAGTGTTTAGCATGTAAGGGCGGTAACACGAGCAATTTGTCTAAGGTTCATTTAGCAAAAGTGCACCACATTCAGACGGAGGAATGCACCGGGCTCGACTGTCTTTCTAGTAGCTCTGTAGCCCCATCCACGAGTAACGTTTCCACGTCAGGTGTTATGTATGCTAGCAGCAACACACGAGTTAACACAATGATACAAACATGGGTTAATGATTAGAGGAAACTGAGTTACTCTTTTGTTAAAGTTTCAGCTATTCTGTTCACAGTTCTGTCATCAGATTATTTAATAGGATTTGTTAAAACATTGTTGTTTCTTTTGATGTGAAATATTATTTATTTTATTTAAATAAAAAGCAATGTTAATTTTGTAAACAATTTGTTAATTTAATAATATATGTATTTTTGAATCAAGTATTACTCTTTATTGTCTTCATTGTTAGTTTCCACATGCCTAAAACAACCTCAAGCTAAATCTAAAAGTTGATGGCTAAATAAGAGCGTTTGAGAAATTGTGCAAGGCATACAGTAATAGTCTGAATAGTCGATTAGTCGTTTAATTAATCGATAGATTAATCGATTATCAAATTAGTCGTTGGTTGCAGCCCTATTATCTCATGTATAAATAAAACGTGTTATTCAGCAACCCTTGCAATTTGGGATTTTATTTTTGGTTGGTAGACCTCGGTGAGCTGGTCATTTCAAAAGTAGCTCACCAGCCAAAAAAAGTGTGGGCAACCCTGCCCTACAGGCACTGTGCATTCCTCCATCACATGCACAGTTGAGTAATATTTAACTCAACATTCCTGTTTTCGTTCTTCAATGAAACAAATAATTGTTCAATAAAATAATTAAAACTTGTTCTGTTCCACTTTAAAAAAAAATGTAAATTAAAAAAAATTGTTGAAATGTCATGTTTTTTGTTTAAGTTTGCATCGAAAATATTTCCAAAATTCCCCAGCTTAACTTCCCATGGAAACTTTCTGGAAATGTACCGGAAACTTTCCGCCCCTTTGCAACCCTAATTATATAACACTGACATTTGGATCAAAACATTTAAAATGGTTAAAAACCTGTTGAGAGAATGCCTAAGTCTTAACAAAAAACAAATCACAACATGTAACTATTTCACGATTGCCTTAGAAGTGAAAAAGCCATTCAGTAAAATGGCAAAAATATCCAGTCTCATCTTAGTTTGACTTGGCTGTGTATTTCAAAGCTCTCATCAAATCCGATTTTCCGCAAACTCGAGTCACGTTCATGCGTGAAATAAGATTTTAAGACATTACTAGTCATGTTTGGACCATGACCCAGGAAGCTTTAAAAGGAAATGTGTATCCCCAGTGTGAAAGATATTTTTGCCAGTATTAAATCCTTGCTTTGGTAATTCCATGCTGCTGAATTGTGGAGTAACCACAAATAAAACGTAGAGAAAAATCAGAGAGCATGTTCATGAAAAAAGCCTGTTAAACAGATATAAATAGAAATACATCTAAGAGCACAGAGACCTGTTTTACGCAAATATGTAAGTAATGGCTTCTGCGTCTAATGTATTGATCTCTCACCTTTGCTGAGGTTTCAAACCAGCCCAGGAAGCCGGTCTCTTTGCAGAAATTGTCCATTAGGGTTGTGTTGTTGGAGCTGTCGTTATTCTGGTCGCATTTATTGGCGAGCAGAACTGAGGGGATGGGGCTGCCATTAGCCAGCTTCACCTTGCTGTCCAGGTCATGCTTCCATTTAGACACCGCCTCAAACGTGGAGCCCCTTGTCACATCGAACACCACGAATGCCCCCACAGCCTCTTTGTAGTACACTCGCGTCATGTTCCCAAATCGCTCCTGACCTGGAGGACAGAAAGAGAATACAGTGAAACATTTGCATTTTTACAAAGCCGCTGAAAGCAATATGAGTAATAGGTTTTTGGATTTGTGTAATGATTCAAAACATGTGGATGTAATGAATCCATCAAAAGCAAATGTGACTGAACATCCAAAACAAAATACCATCACAGCATTTAAAGGATGAAACCAGGATGTCTAGGCCTGAGATTGTCATGCAAGTAATTCAGTCTCATTTCTTTCTCCATTTTGTCCATCGATAGAGATGAGGGCCTAATCGACTCAGAGAATGGAAGAAGTAATCTGCTGTAATGATAAACCCTTTCTCTGTACTCATATTCCCAAAAATCTAAGAAGATAGTTCACAAAAGGCAAAGCATATTTGTATTTGGTGTCACTATTAATCTGAGAAAGACTCTTCTTAAACACAACCGGACCAGAGTGTTTTTTACTTCTTTTAAAACTACCAATATGTCTGTCACACTGCCTCTTTGTGCATTTAACTCTTTGTGAATCCCACAACATCATAGAAAACAGCTACAGATATTTCCACTGAACAAATATATCCACTGTAGATTTTAATAATGTTACTCATAACAAATACAAACATCAACAAGATTTTCCATACTTAAGTAAGCAGTAGTACTTTATCTTAACCCTTAAGAGGAAACAGACTCTTGAAGTGGCGAAAACAAGTCCAAGCCGAGCTCTCTAACATAACTTTTACTCGGACCACATCACTTCACCTTAGCACAAGTGTGCACTGATGCGTGCAACCAGGGGCGCCGTAAGGGGGTGAAAAGTTAGGATGATTCTAAGGGCCCGTGACTGACAGGGGCCCCATGTTTAAGTAACCAATCATCAATAATTAACATTAATATATCGTCATATTGATGATGTACTCACTAAACTTATGATTCATTTAACTGATTTTCTTCCAAAAGTTAATTATCCAAAGCATCGAACACCCCCCTCTATTTACATGTAATGGTTTGGTCCTGCCTCCAAACGCTGTGCAGCACCGGCCCTTTCTAGCAGAGAGACTAGTGAGAGCATGTGAGGAGGGATGCTAGTACTTACGTCTGTACGATGTCTCAACGACTAACAAAGTCAGGCTTTCAAGATAGAAAAGAAAGGAGAGAAAAACAAGAGAGAGGGACTAAAGGGCGACAGTATGTCACCCAGTTTTTCAAGAGAAAAGGTGGGTGTGGTCCATGAGTGGTGGAAATTTGCAGAGGTGGGGACTCGAGTCACATGACTGTCACTTAACTCGAGTCGCATATTTTTTGATTTGAGACTTTCTTGACTAACATTGATAAAAGACTTGACTTGACTTTGACTTGGTATTCATGACTTGAGACTTGACTTAAGCTTGAGATGGATGACTTGAAAGGACTTGACTGTTTAAAATAAAATATTTGCGTTTGTTTTTGTAGTGAGATATTGCGTTTAGTTTTTTCGAAAAACGTGATTATAGCGCCATGCGCGCAAACCTGGCAACCCACTAGAAGGCAGGAGTCTCAGTTAAAATGGCAGCGGCTAGCGTTACTCCAAAAATAGTGAAGTTTGGATTCAAGGATTATTTTGTCGATTACGGAAATAAGAAGAGAACAGCGGTATGCAGGGTCTGCAGCATAAAGATCGGTGACACGACCACCACAACATCCAACTTCATTCGTCACTACAAAAACCCCACACATGCAGGGCCGCCTTAATGCACGGGCTGAACTGGGCTGAAGCCCAGGGGCCTACGGAGATCGGGGGCCTATCATGAGCCAATAAAAAACTTAAAAATGTCCGGGTGTTTTTAAAAAAAATTTAAATAAACAAAGTCTTGGCTTTCAGAATATGAAACTTTTATTTCCAAAATCACACAATAAATACATTTTTGAAGATTGTAAAGGGAAGATGACAGCTCTCACTCGCCACCCTGCACTTCCACAGCGCCGCCCCCCCTCCCTCCGGCTGAAATTATGAATGTAAGGCGTATAGTAATCATAGATAACACGGCAGGGTCCGTTACAGTTTGTTTTCATCTGATTTCAATTAAACAAAGTCTTGGCTTTCAGAATATTAAACTTGTTTCGGCAAATTCAGATGATAAATACAACTTTGAAGCTTGTAACGGCATAAATACAAGCGGAGAACGGAGTAACTTGACGTCACAGCAGGCATAACAACAGCCGGTGTTTCTCACATCTTTCTCAAAAATGATGACTCCGAAACAGTCAGTGGGCACCACTTAACAGCCAATCAGAATGAGAATATGTTTCACATGTGACTTATTCAAATTGCGAGTGATTGAGTGACAGATGAAGGTTGTTTAGGAGAAAATGTCGGAGAAGAAAAAGTTTGAGAGTGGCGCTCGGAAAAGGAAATTGTTGAGGGAAAAGGAGTTTCGAGACAAGCAGCTATTACAAAACATGCCAAAGCTTACAGATTATTTTAAACCTGTAGGCCAGGATGAGGAGGAAGGACAGATGAGTTCTGTACCGAGCGGCAGCGGTGTCGGCCGCGGGGCCTTGGAGCCAAGTAGGCCGCCTGGTTCTGATAATAATAATAATAATAATAATAATAGCTTCGATTTCTATAGCGCCTTTCAGGGGACCCAAGGTCGCTTCACAAGTAATAGTGCAAAGACAAACATAACAAAACAAAAGACAGACAAACAGAACAACAGATCGATTTAGGGGCCGAAAGCCTTGGCAAACAGATGGGACTTGAGGGCCCTTTTGAAGGCTTCAAGTGTGGGGATGTTGCGTATCTCCGCAGGGAGAGCGTTCCAGAGGGTGGGGGCTGCCACACTGAAGGCTCTGTCCCCGTAGGTTCGCAGTTTGGTGCGGGGGGTGGTAAGCAGGCCAGAGTCTGAGGACCGCAGGTTCCGGGGTGGGGCATGTGGGTGAAGGATGTCCGATAGGTACTGGGGGGCAAGGGCATGGAGGGATTTGTAGGTAAGGAGGAGGATTTTGTAGGATATGCGGGACTTGACCGGCAACCAGTGTAGGTGGATGAGGGTGGGAGTGATGTGCTGCCACGGTTTTGTGTGCGTGAGTACCCTAGCAGCACAGTTTTGGACATACTGGAGCCTGTCCAGGGTTTTGTTGGGAACCCCGAACAGGACACCATTGCAGTAGTCCAAGCGGGTGGTGACAAATGCATGGACTAGGGTTAGCGATGGAGCGATGGAGTATAGCTGGAGTAGCGGGAGAGGAAAAACAGACAGGAGGGACATTATCCGTTGGAGGAGATAGGAGGACAACGAGGACTTGCTACTGGAGGGGAGCCAACAACTGGACAGATACATGAGGGAGGCCCGATACGTCACTCATCTGGAGGAGAGGACCATGCCTGCAGAGCAGAGTGGAGAAGTGCGATCACAGAGCCTGCCGAGGCTATAAATGACTTTGATTTGTTGTTTAAATAGGGGGCCGACACAAACTATCAGCCCCAGGGCCTGATGGCAGGTTAAGGCGGGCTTGCACACTGTTGCGGCTTTCACACCAGCGCTTTTCCCTTTCTAGCTCCGAGCGGGAGCTTTTCTGGTTCAGCTCCGGTTTCCCTTTTATGCTCCCGCTCTGTTCACAGCGCCCAGAGCCCGACTGGGTGCTGCCGCTGCTGCGTCATGACGTCACCGTTTACATCGCTGATTTGCTCCCCAACGGCGTTACGGCGCTCACAACAACAACAACAACAACAACTGCGTCGGGTCGATGGTCGTGTTGCTTTTAATCACACGAAGCCAGATTAAATTAAATAACGACTTCTCCAACCTTATACTTTGCTCCAGAGTGCCGTGGTTCATTGTTTATTAATGTGTTTCTGCAGCATTTACCGACCGCTGCAGTGCTGCTCTTCCACGGGAGTTTATTCTCCCGTTAGCTCCCGGTTAGCTCACACTGCAGCGGCCGCTCTAAAGTATTCACTGTCCAACTCACACAAGCAGCTGATACATATCCCCAGTTCCCCTGAATGTGTGTCAGTCTGAATTGACGCTGTTTGGCATCACAACGCTGTTATGAAAGTTTATCTGGTATAAAATGGGTGATGTTAGCATAGCAATCGAAGCTAAACTGACGACTTGCTATTGCTATCCTATTGTGGCATAAACCGTTTTCTACAGGCACATTTTACCGGCGTATTTTTATTATGATTCTACTTGTGATAGTCGGACACGACAACCTGTGCAGCCCATGTATTGATTCCATCCGATAGCTGCTACAATACAAAACAACACGCCTGCCTCTCTCCACAATGATCAATAACAGTGAACGGGTGGTCAAAGTAAGGTACAAATAAACAGAATCACACGAAGCCTGGTTAGTGTTGCCTGACTTTATAAAGTGTGTTTATAAGCACTACTGCTTGTAGGCAGGCATGACAGTCGACCCATGTTCAGGGGAGGTGGGTTTAGTTTCCTGCACGCCTCGACGTAAGAGAGACGTAAGCGACGCCACCTCTTAGCTCCGAAGCTCTTGCCTCTAGACCGACAATTTTTTGGAGCTGGAAGTGAATCGGATTCCGGAGCTAAGAGCCGGCGCCGCTGCGGTGTGAACAGGAAAAACCGGCGCTTTTCAGGCTCCAGCTCCGAGCCGGAGCTGAAAAAGCGCTGGTGTGAAAGGGGCAAGAGAAAGGTGCGTGAATGTGTTGTGTTAGCTAGAAAGCTAACGTTACGTTTAAGCTACGTTAGACTTGGTTTCAAATTGATTAAGCATTGCAAAGAGAAGACCAAACGGTAAATGAACACTAGAACCTCCAAGGGATTCATTTTGACTAACCCTGATACTGACGGGCTGTCAGGAGAGGGAGAGAGAGAGAGGAAAAGAGATGCCTCGTTTATTTCCCCTGTGTTATTATCAGAAGTTACTGTAAACTTTTGAATAATGTAGTTCATCTACTTTTTAGTAGTTTGTTTAAATGTTTTAATTATGTTGTTTTTGTTTGTGGAAGTGCATCATTCCTTGATTTATTGTAAAATGAATCTGAACTTTTTGATCTGTTATGATGA